AAAGAAACTACCATCAGAGTGAATAGGCAACCTACAGAATGGGAGAAAATTTTTGCAATCTACCCATCCGACAAAGGGCTAATATCTAGAATCTACAAAGAACTTAAACAAATTTACAAGAAACAAACAAACCCATCAAAAAGTGGGCAAAGGATATGAAGAGACACTTCTCAAAAGAACACATTTATGCAGCCAACAGACACATGAAAAAATGCTCATCATCACTGATCATCAGAGAAATGCAAATCAAAACCACAATGAGATACCATTTCACACCAGTGAGAATAGTGATCATTAAAAAGTCAGGAAACAACATGCTGGGGAGGATGTGGAGAAATAGGAACACTTTTACACTGTTGGTGGGAGTGTAAACTAGTTCAACCATTGTGGAAGACAGTGTGGCGTTTCCTCAGGGAATCTAGAACTAGAAATACCATTTGACCCAGCAATCCCATTACTGCGTATATACCCAAAGGATTATAAATCATGCTACTATAAAGACACATGCACACATATGTTTATTGCGGCACTATTCACAATAGTAAAAACTTGGAACCAACCTAAATGTCCATCAATGATAGACTGGATTAAGAAAATGTGGCACATATATACCATGGAATACTATGCAGTCATGGAAAAGGATGAGTTCACATCCTTTGCAGGGACATGGATGCAGCTAGAAACCATCATTCTTAGCAAACTATCACAAGGACAGAAAACCAAACACCACCTGTTCTCACTCATAGGTGGGAACTGAGCAATGAAAACACTTGGACACAGGGCAGGGAACATCAAATCCTGGGGCCTATCATGGGGTGGGGGAGTGGGGGGGAGGGATAGCATTGGGAGAAATACCTAATGTAAATGACGAGTTAATTGGTGCAGGAAACCAATGTGAAACATGTGTATACCTATGTAACAAATCTGCATGTACTCTAAAACTTAAAGTATAATAATAACAAAAAAGTATATAAAATCATGTAAAAATTACATGAGGAGATAAAGCAAATGTGTTAAAATAGTAATTGGTGACTCTGAGTGAAAGGCAAATGTGAGTTATTTGTATTCCTCTTGCAACTTTCCTGCAAGTTTGAAGTTATTTCAAAATAAAAGCTTTAAAACAAAGTTGGACAACACTACAGGGTTGGCAAGAATGTGGCAGAATGGTAGCCCTCACATTGCTGGTGGGAGTAGAAGCTGATAAACTCACTATGAAAAGTAATTTGACAATATCTACTGAACTTAATTAAGGATGAACATATTCTCTGACCCACAGTTCTGCTTCTGAGCATAGTCCCCCTGTGTTCAAGATGTGTGCAAGAATGTTATGCTCAGCATTGTTTGCAATAGCATAAGACTAGAAATCACCTAAATGTCCCCCAAAAAGAGAACGAATAAATAATAAATTTGTGGTATGTCCATAAAGCAGGATGGTACATATATCAGTAAAAATGAACAAAGTAGAACTGCACCTATCAGTGTGCATAATTCTGGAAAACATAGGCCAGGCACCATGCCTCACACCTGTAATCCCAGCACTTTGGGAGGCCAAGGTGGGCAGATCACCTGAGGTTGGGAGTTTGAGACCAGCCTGATCAACATGGAGAAACCCCGTCTCTACTAAAAATACAAAATAAGCCGGGCATGGTGGTGAATGCCTGTAATCTCAGCTACTCGAGAGGCTGAGGCAGGAGAATCACTTGAACACAGGAGGCAGAGGTTGCAGTAAGCCGAGATCTCGCCATTGCACTCCAGCCTGGGCAACAAGAGTGAAACTTCGTCTCAAAAACAAAAACAAAAAAGACATAAACATGAAGAAAGAAAGTGGCCAAATATGTACATTATGATACATTTTGTGTAAGTCTTAAAATCATGGAAAATACTATATATTGCTTACGGATGTTTACGTATATGATAAAAGAATAGAGGTGCAGGGAAATAATAACCATATTCAGAACTTTGTTACTTCTGGAAAGGAGTAGACAGAGGATTTCAAATATATCTATAATGTTTTATTTCTTAAGCTGAGTTGTGAGTACATGCTGTTAAATATTATTTGTGATTTTTTAAATATGCCTGAGGTATTTCATAATATTAAAATATATTAATTCAATTTCTGGAGCCAGCTCTACTGAGCAAGAAGTTTGGAAATCTCTGGTTCTCACATATGATAACATTTTCCAAACAACTAAAATAGCGCAAGGGAAATCTCCAAATGAATGGGCAACAAATCAGGTTCATAAGGGTATAATTTAAAACAATATGTCTGTCTTGTTGGCTATAAAATAATGTTAAAATTATCTAGTAACCACAAGAATAAGAAAAAACATTCTGTGCTCAATTTTGCAGCACAAATAAAATATGAACATTTAATACAGTATTTGTAATAGCTACTATTTCATATTCTTTAGAGTTATTTGGCAACAATACCTTTCAGGGATAGAAATGCAGCCTAAATAATCTTCCTTTTCTGAGCAAAGAAAAAATAATTCCAAATGTATCACAGCTAAACAAGAAAAAAAAAAAGCCCAACTTTTAAAAGAAAAAAATCACCATATAGCCACTAATACTTTTTCCCACTTAAAAATGTACTGTTAACTCCTCCAACTAACTTAATTTGGACATTATCTACTTATGAAGCTAAGGAAAATAGGCAGGAAAAAAATCATACCTTCCTCATATTTTCTGCATCCATGGCAACTATTTCCAGTTGGTCTCTCTCCTGCTCGACTTCTGTCAATCTCTGCAACAACGTCTCTTTCTCATCCTGCAGCTTTCTGCACTCATTCTGGGCCTGAGTTGCCTGGCCTTTAATGGTCCCCAGGTATTCTTGCAACCCACTGATGACACCTTCTAAATCCTTTTTCAGGGCTTCGTTTGCTGCTATCTGGCCTAAGCAAGATGCAAAAAGGGTAATAATATATCTTTTTAAAGTACTGTAGCATTGTCTCATCAGCATTTTGTTATTAGCCAAGAGTGAAATTCTAAAGCTTTCAATTATTTCCTATCATTTTTCGTTTTCAACACATAATGTTAAATTTTCTTCCTATTATAGATAGTACAGGACTATTAAGCAGGTATAAAATAAAAATAGTATATTTAGGGGCTATGCTTGTAAAATACCTGATTCATGCTGTAAAAAGTTTAATTTCGCCCAGGTGCAGTGGTTCAAGCCTGCAATCCCAGCACTCTGGAGGCCAAGGCGGAGGATCATGAGGTCAGGAGATTGAGACCATCCTGGCTAACACAGTGAAACCCATCTCTATTAAAAATACAAAAAATTTAGCCGGGCATGGTGCACGTGCCTGTAGTCCCTGCTACTCACGAGGCTGAGACAGGAGAATCACTTAACCCCAGGAGGCAGAAAGCTGCAGTGAGCGCGAGGATCAGGCCACTGCTACTCAGCCTGGTGACAGAGTGAGGCTCCATCTTAAAAAAAAAAAAGTTTAATTTCCAATAAAATAAAAAATATGTAGCAAAACTGTGATCTGTCGGCTGCTAAATACATATAACAAATCACTCAGTATATTATCATATTATAGATAATTCTGAAAAAAGTCCCAGAGAATGCCCCCATTAGCTTAGCTAGGGCCCATAAATTTATCTTTGAACCAATCACCATGGCCAGAATGACCAGAGTGAGGGTGTCTTGAATGGCCAGTTCTTAATTATGGCACTCTCTCTGGGCTTTGATAGGGGAAGATGTTCAGTACCCATGTCCCAAGTTAAGTAATATTATATAAATGGTTCTTGTTCACCATCTTTGCACTACCATTTTGTTGTGTCTTTTGGGTGTTTCCAGGCTCACAAAGATCTAGGAGATAATTTAGAACTTTAAAATTAAGTCAGAAAGAGCCTTGGGCAAGTCTGAGAAAGACTTAGGTAAGTGGAACACCAATAGATAAAGATGAATCCAAGACTGGCGAGACATAAACGTGTAACCTAAAGACTTAAAACACCACCACACTCCCCATGTACAGTACTGGGATACACACTATGTGCCAGGAACCTTTATGAACACTCTCTCTCTCTTCTTCTTTTTTTTTTTCCTCAAAGTTTCACTCTGGTCACCCCAGGCTGGAGTGCAGTGGCCCAATCACGGCTCACTGATAGCCCTCAACCTCCTGAGCTCAGGTGATCCTCCACCCTCAGCCTCCCCAAGCAGATGGGCCACAGCATGTGTACTACTACATCTGGCTTTTTTTTTTTTTTTTTTTTGTAGAGTCGGGGTTTCGCCATGTTGCCCATGCTGGTCTTGAACTCCTGGGCTCAAGTGATCTGCCCACCTCAGCCTCCCAAAGTGCTAGGATTACGGGCATGAGCCACCACTCCCGGCCTATAAATACTATCTAATTTAATTCTCCCAACAACTAATAATTGAGATAAAAACAACTTGTCCAAGGTGACACAGCTGATAGTAGCAAAACAAGGAGTAGGATCTTTTTACACTGAGCCCTATGTGTAAAAACCACTATGGCCTATTGTCTTCCTTTTCCACTATTATGGATATGTCACATTTTAAATCTGCATTGCAAAAGTAGATCCTAAAACTCTTTCTTCTTATAACCAGACACTGAATTCCCTGATGCCAATGGGTGCTTTGCTCCTGAATGGATTTTATGCCATAGACAATCACATGCCAGAGCTTATCATGATCTTGTATTGACTTCTGGCCTACTGACTGGAATGACCTGACTCACTAGGCATCAATGTCACAAAACAAAACAAAAACAAAACTCTTAAAATTGCATTAAATACTTTTGGGTATCCTGTAAATATTTCCCTATCAAATACTAGTACTAATAGGTGAACTGTATTTAGCTACTATCTGGATTAATGCTTGTCTTTATAATGTTCCTTTCACTAGTAATAAAACTGATTTACCCTAAATCACACTGAAATTCTTACCTTCAGTAAGTTGTTGTTCAAGGTCCTTAATCTCTTCTGTTTCCTTAGCAATTCTAGAAAGTATCTCATCCAAACGACTTTCAAGTTGTTTGTACTGCTTGTTCATAATGTCAAGCTGTTGTTCTTTACCCCTCTTTTGAGCCTTCATATGGGACTGAATTAAAAAACAAAAAAAAAAAAACAAAACTCCAAGTTCCTTAAACTCCTTTAAAAAGAATAACCCTTAACAACATTTTTAAACGAAGAATAGAAAATAAATATAATAATTTGCACTATTTTGTGTCAGGCCCTATATTATTTTCACATGGGTAGTTTTCATTTAAACTTCAAGATAAGTTGATATGGAAATCATTTCTACTTTACAGGTGAGAAAACTGAGGATCAAAAAGGTTAAGTGGTTTTTCCAAGGGCACAGCTAGGTAGGTCAGTGTTATTTGCATTGCATTAAATTGTGTGTCTCTCTTTTTATTCTTTCTTTTTTTTTTTGAGATGGAGTCTCACTCCGTCGCCCAGGCTGGAGCGCAGAGGCACAATCTCAGCTCACTGCAACCTCCGCCTCCCGGGTTCAAGCAATTCTCCTGCCTCGGCCTCCCAAGAAGCTGGGACTACAGGTGGGGGCCACCACACTCGGGTTTTTGTTTGTTTGTTTTTGTTTTTTGTTGCTTTTTTAAGTAGAGACGGGGGTTTCACCATGTTGGCCAGGCTGATCTCGAACTCCTGACCTCAAGCGATCTGTCGGCCTTGGCCTCCCAAATCGCTGGGATAACAGGCATGAGCCACCGTGCCCAGCCTAAAATGTGTCTTTTAAAAAAGGTTTCCAAAGTTAGTTAGTTATGGCATATATCTATAAAAAGACTTAAAAACTACATCCCAAAATGTTAACAAGAATTATACCTGGGTGGAAGGATTACATGGGGATTTTTTTCCTTTTGTAATGAGTATTTTTATTTTTAAAAAACTTTTATAGTAGATAAGTAATGACTTTTTAATAAAAAAAATTAAGTGTACTTTTTAAAAAAAATTTCTTAGAAGAAAATAGAGGCATGAAATAAAATACTTGAAATTCAAATTTACTTTCAATCTCTTATACAAAGAAACATTTGGCTTTTCAATAAACTGAGAGTTGACAGGGACCTCAAAGACCACTTAGCCCGGTGAGTCTCAAAATGGAGGGTCCTAAGGAGGTATACCTGTCTACCACTAGACTTCCCCATGGTGGAAAACAGAGCTTTCACATACCCACACACCCTCTCGCACCCTGAAGTCATGGCATTAGGGAACTGCTGTTAACTGAAAAGAGTGTATTGTATTTCTCAGGTGTGCTAGGGAAAGCAAATCAAGAGCCAATAATCTAGTCTAACCCTTGCTTTTAAACATGAGAAAACTGAATTTCAGATCCATCAAATGACTTGCACGTGAGGCAACTGTTCATATGAAGGCAAAATAATTCCCCAGAGAACCTTTGCCCTCCCACTCACACCTTCATGACTCTTAAGTTGGTACCCACAGGATGAGAGGAATACAACAATAAATGTTATTGAAAGAGGGAACTGTATCAGAAAAATGAACACCAATGATCTCAAGTCTAAGACCCATGTGATGATAAAATAATATTTCTCAATTTTATGTATTTGCTTACCCCAAATACAAGAAAAAACATCTTTTCATTTCTGATGAACAAAAGAATGGCAGCTTAATTGGAAGGTTTTAAATTTACTACCGGTAAAGCTTTATGGTATTTTGCAAACTCTTTTCCCTACACTCCCAAAATACCCATTTGAAATCTTTCTGAAAAGTTAACTACATATAACAGCTTACATTCTAAGTAAATTTCGGATTTTTATGGCTCAAGAAATAATTTCTTAAAAGACTACACTCATATCAATAAATCTTTAAAATTCACCATTAAAAATTCCAGCGAAACTTTTATACGCAGGATAAAAATCTGATTCAATATGCCAATGGTGTACATTAAATACAGAGGAACAAAAGTAGATTCTGCGATTTACATCACCGAGAAGCTCACAAAAGAGTTATTGTAAAAACAGGAACTTACATCTCTGACTCCTCCTCCTTTTAAGTCCTTTGTACACAGAGAGAAAAAATGATCATACCTTAAAATTTATCCTGTTAAAACTGAGCCGTTGAGAACAGAGAAACTGTGGGCGGAACACTTTCTAATGCTGTCTTCAAATTCATGTGCACTTCCCTCTCTGACAGCCACATTTTCGCAAGCGCCTCCGAGCCTCTGTAACTTCGCAGAGGCTCAAACCACATTCTTGGCCAAAAGTGAGCGGCGGCCCCGCCCATCCAATCACCAGCAGCCTCTGCGGGCAGGCCCCACCCTCCGCGAGTTAAATCATAACACAGGAAGCTCCCGGGGGCCAATCACGCCCAAACTTTGCAACAGATCACTACAGCTCGTTCCCTCTAGCGAACAGTTAACTTTTGCTTCCAATGGGGCATTTACCAATCAGAGAAACACAATACGAATCTTCATTGTTTGTTCCAGTGATAATTTGTGCTTGTATGAATAATTTCATAACTACAATAGTCTGTGAATTTGAAACCTCGTTAAATGCTTGTATTTGCTGAAAACCTGCCTAGGCTTAGTTCTGAGCTAATTTAAAAATAATCTATTTAGACCTTTAATCGCTTTGTGAGGAGAGGGTCATTGTGGTAGCATAAGCAAGGGCTCCACCTCTTTCTAAAACAATGACTTGGGGGCAAATCACTTAATATTTCTATATCACATTTTCATCCTCTTCAAAATGAAAGAAAAATGGCTAGATGTGAATAAAGTTCCTCACCAGAACGTGTAAAATACAGCACAATGTACGACACATTGTGGGCACTTAATATGTTTGTTTTCTATGATTTCTCATCAAAGTTAAGCTTTTACTTTTAAATTCTATTGGCTATTCAGAAAGATAGTTCATCTAATTACATAAAAATTAATTACATAAAAGTCTACCTATATCTATAGAAAAATATGCAGGCATCCCACTCTTGATTATTTCTCTTCTGCTTAAAGGCTCACATTTTGTACCCTAAAATAGGATGCCAAACACTAGCCAATATGAAACTTTGTGAATCAGAAAAAGATGTTCCCTCTGGATAAACTTAAAAGAGATGTCCTCTGATGCTGGGACTACGGCTGCAAACTTAAGAACTATTAGCAGTTTTAATAAAATTAAAAAGGAAATTCAAATCTGGTTTGTATGTTTCATCCCCACTGCACAGGTTGATTTTAGCTAACTTTAAAACTTGGATACCATTCCCATGTCTCATTTACCGCCTTTCTATATATAATTCTCTACAGAAATCCAGTGGGAACTGAACTCTGTGTCCGCCAGAAATATAACAGTCATTTGTTGAAAGCAAACACATAATCCAGCTACTAATTAGACTCATAGATCACAAAACTGGAAGGGGAAGCAAAGGAGTTTTGGGTAGGATTTATAAGCTGCTTCCTTCCTCCCTTCCATGATGCAAGCATTCATAAACACAGGGCTGGTTGGTCCCTGGGAATACAGATACCCGTAGGATACAATTCATGTCTTCAGGGGCCTTACATGGGTGAGATTGAACAAATACATTCAATAAAGTAAGATATTATTGACCACATTATACATTACTTAAAATACCCCATTTTCCCTTAAAATTATTTAAAATAATCAAGACTACTTTTGGTTTCAATGTTAATACTTTGGTTTCCATTTTTAGGCTTTTGTTAGAAAAGACCTTGTATCTGTCATAAGGTTATCCTTTATCGAAATTAGCTGGCCCACAAAAAATATATATGATATTGTACTAAAATGCTTAAAGGAATAGTTAAATAACTTGTCAAGTACTAAAGCAATTACAATATCCTCACTATGTTAAATTCTATGATTTCTATTAATCCAGAAATCTTAGAGTTCTTTAAAAAAAAAAAACAACCCCTATTATTCAAGGTATACCAGGAAAATACATAGAAGATATTTTTCCTTGTATTTTAGGAGTATTAGCTAAAATATAAGCAATTAGTACAAAGAGTAGAGACAGAGACAAGGGCTTGGCCATATCCAGCCACCTGACCATATCTAGTCATATCTCAGGAAGAAACATTCCAGAGAAATGTTTCCTTTTTTAAGGACAAAACAAAACAATATGAAAAAACAAATACCTTCAGTGGAATATTTGCATAAAGGATTAAATAGAAGAGGTAGAAAAAGGACTCGGAACCCCCTTCAGCTTCTTCTGCTCTTAAGAAAGATGAAGGGCTGGACGTGGTGGCTCACACCTGTAATCCCAGCACTTTGGGAGGCCAAGGCAGGCGGATCAGAAGGTCAGGAGTTCAAGACCAGCCTGACCAACATGGAGAAACCCCCTCTCTACTAAAAATACAAAAATTAGCTGGGCGTGGTGGCGCACGCCTATAATCCCAGCACTCTGGGAGGCTGAAGTGGGTGGATCACGAGGTCAGGAGATGGAGACCATCCTGGCCAACATGGTGAAACCTTGTCTCTACTAAAAATACAAAAATTAGCCAGGCATGGTGGTTGGTGCCTGTAGTCCCAGCTACTCGGGAGGCTAAGGCAGAAGAATCACTTGAACCTGGGAGGCGGAAGTTGCAGTGAGCCAAGATTGTGCCATTGCACTCCAGCCTGACAACAGAGCAAAAAAAAAAAAGAAAAAAAAAAAAAAAAAAGAAAGAAAGATGAAAAAAAGGAAAGGAGGGAGAGAGCAAATCTCTCTTGCTCTGCAATGCAATGAAATTCAACCACTTAAAAATAAATAATTATGCCATGTGGCCATCATTTACTGAAAGCCACCTTCTCTTCAAGCCCTAGGTTGTTTTGTTTTAAACATACACATTCCATATATATGTGTGTGTGTATATATACACATATATTTATATATAACACACATACATATACACATACATACATTATATATACACACATATATGTACAGTTTTCCTTCGGTATCCATGGGGGATTGGTCCCAGGATTCCCTGCAGATACCAAGATCCACTGATGCTCAAGTTCCCTTCTATAAAATGGCATAATATTTGTATTTAACCTATGGACATCCTCTTATATATTAAAATCATCTCTAGATTACTTATAATACCTAATACAGTATAAATGCTATGTGACTAGTTGTTATACTGTCTTGTTTACAGAATAATGACAAGGGAAAAAAAGTCTGCACATGTTCAGTACAGATAAAACCATCCTTTTTTTCCTAATATATGTGATCTGCAGTTGGTTAAATCCACAGATGCAGAACCCATGGATATGGAGGGCTGACTGTATATGTATATCACTTAAATTTGTACATGAAACTAAAACAGACTTTCAGAAAGGACTCTGGACTTTGATGCTAACAATGATGAGACATGTAATATGTAGGGAGAACAAAAAATTTCTTAATTTACTCACATGTTTTGGGTCTTTGGAATCCAGGCTATCTATGGCTATTTGCAGGTCCTTAATCTCCTTCTGCTTTTCGGCAATTTCCTGCTTTTGCTTTTCCATCTGCAGTTCTAGATCCAGAGCTTCCTGGCGTAATTTATTTACAAGTTGTAGTCTACCACTCAACTGCTTGTAAAGAAGGTCCTTCCCTGCTTCTGAAATCTAATCTCCCCAAACCCCAATATATAATTAACAGAGAAGAACAACATTGATTTATTAAGACAATGTCTTTAATTTCTATGTTCTATCAGTTTTTTAAAAATAAAAGTAAAATGTGGGAGTTATCTAAGCACTCCATGCATATTTTATACTTTTATGCTTATTATATGTAGAAAATCATACTTTAAAAAGTTTATGAAAACTATTAATAGCAAGCACACATAAGTTGTCATTCTATAATAGTATAGGCAACTTGTAAATTATTAATAATAAACATAGTATTAATAATAGCTAGCTTCATATAGCACTTACTATGGGCCATGCACTGTTCTAAACTCTTTATATCCTTTCATCTAATCCTCAAAACATAAAAGGTAAAAAGTATAATTATCCCAATTTTATAGATAAGGAAACTGAATCACGGAAAATTTAAATATCTCGCCCAAGGTCATACTAGGAGTTTGTGGAAGCAAGACTTTGTGTGACTCTAGACAATTTCACTGACTACTACACTACCGTTTCCTAATTAGTTTTAATGTGAAGACAATCAACCAATAAATTGAATACTGATATAGAAGTAATAATTAATACTCTATCTCTTATTTCTAACAGTTTTTAGCATAGATTTAAACAAATGTAAAAATTTCTCAAGAGTCTGTATAGAAGTGTAAAAAAGATGAAGATAAAAGACTGAAAAGAAATAAAATAATGATGATTACTACGTAATTCCCCATAACTGCAATACCTTTATAATCAGGAAAAAATTTTAGAATTCCATGTTCACTGGACAATCATCTCACACTCAATAATTTCAAAATACAGCAAACTCTCATTAAATTGACATTTTTATTTCACTTAATTAGAACCCAGCTGAAGCTTACCTTTGTTAGCATGTCAAGTAAGTGAACAGTATAAACAAAAACTTAGGCTATTAATTTTCTTATTAACTATTTATTAACTATTATTAACTATTAATATTAACTCACTTAAATAACTCTATTTTCTAAGCATATTTTGGAAGTATCCATTTCTTTTAAAATTATGTACATTATTTACATCTATCTATGTAAAGCTTTGGCCAGTGCTATTATAAAATATTCTTTTTAAATTATTAAAACCATCTTGATAGCTCCCTCTACCTCATTTCCTACTTTCAACCCATCATTAAGTCCTGTCAGTTCTACTGTCCAATGTTTCCTGGAATCAGTTGGCTTTGTCTCCACATCCACCAGCACCTTCCTGGTTGGTGCTAGTATCATCTCTTGCCTGTACTGAACAACAGCCTCCTGAGAGATACAGATGCACACAACCCCATTCCTTCCATCTCACTCAGTCCATTTCACTCTTCATGAAGTAAGGCAAAGTGACAAATAGGATCAGCCACTCAACTATCTAAAGCCCTTCAAAGATTTCCTATTGCATGCAAAATAAAATTCAAACTTCTTAAAATGGCTTATGAACAATTTGGGAGGCCGAGACAGGCAGATCACTTGAGCCTAGGAGTTCAAGACCAGCCTGGGCAACATGGTGAGACCCCACCTCTACAAAAAAAATACAAAAAATTAGCCAGGAGTGGTGGCACATGCCTGTAGTCCCAGCTATTCCAGAGGCTAAGGTGGGAGAACCACCTGAGCCCAGGAAGTCAAGGCCCTGTCTCAAAAATAAAAATAAAAATAAAAATAAAATTGCCTATGAAGCCTGGCATGATCTTTAACCTCATGACTCTTTAACTTCATCTTCCTCTACACTCTCCCTTATTCTGCAGAGAAATTTTTTAGTCTGAAGGCCTTTGTACACACTGTCACCTCTGCATGGAATACTTTCTGCCAGCTCTGCCTCACTGGCTCCTTCTCATCCTTTGTATATTAGCCTGTCACCTCCTCAGAGAGGCCTTTGTGAATCCCCACAATCTAAAGTGTATCTCTTTTAACATCTCCCCTAGTTTTCTATTTTTTTCTTACAACACTGATGCTGTTTAACTTTTTTCCTTTTTTTAAAATAAATATTTTTTTCCTTTTTGTTTATTTATTGTCTTATTTCCCCCACAAGTCTGTCCATGAGAGGGACACATGTCTATTTTGTTCATTACTCAGCGCCCAGCCCAGTGACTGACATATAGTAAGGTATAAACTTGAGTCAATTTCTAGTTAGTATAAAATCTGAAAGTAACAATACAGTGTATCTTTTAAAAGAATCTACAATTTGGACTTCACATTGTTGTTCTACCTACTGTGATATGAATGTAGTTACCATCATAATTTTTAAATACTGATTTTTAAAAGTTATAAATAACTAAAACCTTTTTACCCACTTAAAAACTAAAATGTCACGCTACTTCCTTTTTTTGAATTTTCCCCTATGCAATTACATCATGGATTTGAGCTGCTTACTTGCTTACTTTACAACACACTTTGGTAATTTTTGAGAATATGTTACTTCAATCTTTTTGTATACTACATATCTCTTTTTTTTTTTTTTTGGCTTGTGTTTGATGACAATGTTCATGTAATAGCAGAGATATCTCCTGGTTCTTAATCTAAGTCCCAGGATCTTAAAGGTGGAGAGTGCTTAATTAAATTAGAAGAGATACATCAGGAAGCAACTTCTCAAGACTACACCTTTTTACATAAAATTAAGTAATTTATTTATTAATAAATTGCTAATTGGATGTCATCATAAATGGAAGAAAATTACAACTGGCAAATTCTAGAACCATATTTGACTGTGGAATTTATTATCCCATAATTAATTAGGCAGCTAACTGCTTTTTAAATTGTTTTATATGGTTATGAAGGGAAAAACACGTTTCATTTTTCATTTCCTCTTAGCATTGCTGCTTTGCTTTTACATACTTTTTTTAGTTGTACAGCTTCTTCCAGTTGTTTAAATTCTTCAGTAGCTCTCAAAATTTGTTGTTCTGCCTTTTCTATTTCGTCATGCAGTTCTGATAGTCGAGTTTGTGCTGCAAATTTAAAAACCATGCTCACATAATATGAAACAAGAAAAATATTGAATTCTGAAATTTCTACCAGATATTCCTTCTTTGTAATATCCTTCTCCCCTCTCTATTAAACTGTCATTATACATCACAAAAAAAATTTTAAACTAATTACTTATGATTGGCTTTTGTCTATTAATTAATCTCTAAAATAAACTGTTTCATGATATGGTATAGAACTCGAATTGTTTTGTTTCATTCTGTTTTGAGATGGAGTCTCGCTCTGTTGCCCAGGCTGGAGTGCAGTGGCACGATCTCGGCTCACTGCAAGCTCCGCCTCCCGGGGTTCATGCCATTCTCCCGCCTCAGCCTCCTGAGTAGCTGGGACTACAGGGTCCCTCCAACCATGCCCGGTAAATTTTTTTTTTTTTTTTTGCATTTTTAGTAGAGACGGGGTTTCACCGTGTTAGCCAGGATGGTCTCGATCTCCTGACCTCATGATCCGCCCACCTCAGCCTCCCAAAGTGCTGAGATTACAGGCGTGAGCCACTGCGCCCGGCCGGTATAGAATTACAATCGATCCTTTTATTTGTAAAATTCTTAACATGAAAGGGGCTATTCCCAACACCAGTAAACCCTTTTTACTAGAGAATAAGACTTTTATTGGGAAATATGCGCTTTACATGTCACTAAGTTATAATTAGGTTCAGGGTATTAAAAATAACCCATAAAACCTTGTGTTAGAGGGAAATGCTTTACGATGGAATTCAATATCAAGAAATTCACTACTGAGCTCTCTCTCCCAGCTGTAGATGATCTCAAATCAATTATTTTCCACCTCAAATTTAAGATTTCTCTCTCCCTCTCCCCTATAAAACTGAGTCAGCCCCTTTAAAGCTAGTCTGCACAAAAATCTGATTTATTTTTGCTTTCCCCCAGAGACTTGCATATAGTATAGGTAGACATAAATAACTCAGTTTCTTCTCTTCCTTCACCAAGTCAACTTCTATTTGCCTTCCATGTCTTCCATTTAGCTACCACTCAAGGAAAGATAAGCTGCTGGTCTGATTGAGAGCACCACAGTGGGCCATAATGCTAGGGGGATGCACAAATCCCGGTAAGGGTTCTCTTTCTTCCATATCCACGCAGCTGAGTGGGTAAGTAGATTCAAAGTCTGTCATTGGCAGGGTCTCTAAAGTGCCCCCGTCTTGACTTCTTCCTTTACGTGACTTGCCAGAAGGTATTAAGATCCCTTGAATTAGATTGTGGGGCGTGGGGCATGTCAGGAAAAGTCAGAGGCTACCCTTAGACCCAGGCCTGAGGAGAATGCTCTGTTCCAGCTTATACAAAGCATTGCTTTAGGTTTTTGCTACGTGCATAGTAATCAATCAAGTGGTTCTTTACTTGCTTCAGTTATTACTAATTGTGACTTTGAATATATAGTTCCAGTGCTTATTTGAAAGAGGGGATTTACTCATTCTTGAATCCCCTGGACATGTTGCCACCAAATTACTGCCAAAAACTCTATTAACCATAACAGAAATCATTACAAAATAAATGCTCGATATATCTGCTTGATAATCACTACTTTTGTTTTAGACTTTTCATGGAAACAACACCATCAACATGTTCAATTAAAGGAGTTATAGGGCCGGGCGCGGTGGCTCATGCCTGTAATCCCAGCACTTTGGGAGGCCAAGGCGGGTGGATCACAAGGTCAGGAGATTGAGACCATCCTAGTTAACACAGTGAAACCCTGTCTCTACTAAAAAAATACAAAAAAATTAGCTGGGCGTGGTGGCAGGTGCCTATAGTCCAAGCTACTCAGGAAGCTGAGAATGGCGTAAACCCGGTAGGAGGAGCTTGCAGTGAGCTGAAATTGCACCACTGCACTGCACTCCAGCCTGTGCGACAGAGCGAGACTTCATCTCAAAAAAAAAAAAAAAGTTATAGAACAAAATTGGCCTACATATTCAATGTTTTTATATTTTTTAGAAGAATTTTAAAAATAACTTTTTTTAACCTGCACTTATTTTTTTTTCTTTGTCTTCCAGTTGCCTGTCCAGCGGTGCGTGGCCTCTCAAGTTCACGTGATCATTTCTAAGTTGTTCATCTGGCTCCATCTTCTTGATCTGTATTGCCTGAGCATTATCAATAATATAACTCTCTGTGGCAAACATATTTCTCTTGTATCTGGATTTGCCAATGTAAGGGCTTTCATCTGGGGCTTTATCAATTTCAGCATACTAAAAGCAAAATAATAGACTTATGGTTTAATAAGTGACCTCCAAGCAGTCAAACGACATTATTCATTTTATTAGTGGCAAACATATCACAGAATTGCTCAAGTTATATAAATCCTACATGCCTAGAAGCTGAAAGATATATGTTATTCTTTTATCTTCTTAATATACCAAAAAGGAAATTAGAACTAAAAATGGTCTCAAAAGAATTCTTCCTCCTACCACTGAAGAGTGAAAGTTTGGACTGATTGATTAAAGAAACTGCCTACAGTTATGTGATTTTTAGCACTGCTTGATCTCTCAAATTGGAAATATGGGTGTTTTATTTTGGTTTCTTGGCTCATATAAGTAAAATCTCAGTCTTTTTTTTTTTTTTCCAGATACATGGTATGCAGCCATCAGTACAATACATTTTAATAATTGAAGTTTTAAAAATGAAATATATGATATTGGTTGGAATCACTGGGTCTTAGAAGTTTGGCATTTCCTCACTTGCAGTGACATTATGGCATTTGTACCAGTCATGACTGACTAATATTGAACCCAGTGATTACTGAACACACCATGTAAGGAGATGACTATTCCATGGTACTGAAGCATTTATCCCAGACGTCTGGATTTAAGGGAACTGATCAACCCATACACCTGGGAAAGATAGCTGAGAGTTAGACGACTGCTTTTGGTAATGGATATGGCTATGAGCAAAGATTTTTTACCTCTTTAGGATACTGTTCTAACTCCCTGAGCCAAATAATTCATAGATTCAACCAAAATACAGTTTACTCCTCTCATAACAAGAAAGTGGAATGATATCTGATGAAATCCCTTACATGTCCTCACCACCTGCCCTCCCCCATTCCATCCCATGTGGGTTTTTAACTTTGGGTTACTAAAAAATTAAAATAACTCACCTCTGATGGATAATAATTTAGTGGCTCAAATTTAGCATCAATTTTATAAAAGGCCAATTCCTGTTCCAGCTCATATTGCTTCTGACACGCTCGTGTTAGTTCTATGGTCTTCTGTTTTAGCTATTGGCCAAATTTGATATGAGACAACATACAGGATCAGTAAGTTAGTATAAAGATGTGACGATATGGTTAAGTTCTCATCATAAGTAATAATTATATAGGTTTAAAAACTCCACAGTAAGCTGCACAACACTCAGAACATTTTATCTTACTTCTAAATTATAAAAAATGAAACACAAAATTATCATTCCATAAGAGATCAAGTAAAAGACCTTTGAAGTTTATAAGCTGTTTCAGGATATAATGAATAATGATTTTTAAAATCTCTTACGTTTGTTAAACATGAAAATATTTTTGTATCAATTATTTTTGTGTAACTGGACTAATAAATACCTACTTCCTGATTTTCCAATAATTAGCACTAAAGAAATTAATTTCTTTAACTGACTTTCCAACTTTAACAATAGTTTCAAATTATAAGGGAAAATGACAACTGACACTAACTGCAGAGAAATAAAGAGGAATCAGAAAGATGAAAATAAGAGCTTGGTTTGAATTGTCATACTGTTGTTGCTATAGTATTTGTGGCTAATGGCATCGCAGTTTTAAGTGTTCAGAACATTATTCTTTGTAATAAAGAATAAGGGATGTAATAAAGAATAAGGGATCCAAATATATAATATTCAATTTTAATAAAGTAATTCTACTATAACTTTTTATTCTTAGAAATTTTTGGAGCTTGCAGAAGACAAATGATCCAATCTAATTCTCTGAATTTATAAATACAGAAATTAAGTTTCAGATTGGTGAACTGACTTGTCAAAAGTTACATATTAGATTAGTGTCAGAAACTAAATATTTTATTAACTAACTACTAGTACTAGCTCCTTTCTACTAAACCAAACTTTGAGTTTTTTCACAGATCCACTAAGTGATTTTTGTCTTTTTTTGGCCAGTGTCTGATGGTAGATATCAAAGAAAAAACATGCAGAAAAATTTCATTAATATAAAAATGCAAGCTGAAGAGAATAAAACATAGACAAACACAAACATTTTACACGGCCCAAGAAATCAAAGTCGTGCATGATTTAGCTCACAGTCGCCTCCTGATTATCCATCAAAATGCAACTAACAGCCTAGACAACGGGTAACATTTGGCCAAATACTCAATGTGTGCCAGACATTGTGCTAAGCATTTTACATGTGTTATTGCACTGAATCTTTACAACCACCCAATAAGATGATAAAAGCTGCACAGCGAAGTTAAATAACTTGCCCAGTTTCACAGCTGGTAGTGGAAGAGGCAGAATTCAATTCCAAGTCTCCTGATTTCAAATCCAACACTGCCTATTGCTCCACGCTGCCTTCAATGTACTGCTGCAGGGTGTCCAGCACATTACCCACATTGATATTTTCACTGAATGCTCATAACTCTCCAAGTCTCAAGAAAGCAACTCACAATCAACACTGTCAACTAATCTTGGGTTCTCTCCTCAAAACTCATTGGCAATAGTGGCAAACAAAAGGCAAATGTGACTGGAATCATAGAGAATACAACTGGTCTCTGCAGGCAAATAATAATAAATAGGCTGTGCATTTCAAAGTCTTTTGTGTCTTTTGTGCATTTTGTGTCTTTTATAAGCCCTAGGCTTAGCATATAGTAAGCACTCAATAAATGTCTGTTGAATAAATGCATGAATAAAAGCAAAATAGAAGTCAAATGAACTGGAAAGTAGGCTAGTCGCAGTATTAGCTGTGGATAATCAAGAGTTGACTGCAGGTAACATATTTACCAATCAGAAAAATAATTCTTTCCCCCACATTCAAGTTTGCTCTCCTATATAAACATCCATTTAAAAAAAAATTCATACACACACAACCACATTTCCCAAGAAGACAAGCCAGTTTCAAAACTTAAAATGTAAGCAAGCATATTAATGCAAGTTATCATGCAAACCCTGAAAAACATAGTATGCAGTTCAGGCCTGGAAGAACTACCTTTAAGGAAGAATAAAGAATCAGCAGAAAAGGGCCTGCAAGAAACCAAGACAAGGGCTAAAGAAGCAAACAGATACTGTCACCTGGAGAATTAAACTGTAATAATACAAGTTTCTCTTAACTGAAAACTTACCATAGGAAGACATTGGCTTTTAGTATTGGCATTATTCTTACATGGACATATTTTATTGCCATTCTGAGTTACAGATTTACTACCTTCCGTTACTTAGCTTGATTCATTTCAAATTGTTTTCACACTCATTACCTTATTAAATCCTCACAATTCTGTGAGGCTAGCAGGACAGGTAAATAACCCTCATTTTAAATATAACTAAACTGAAGCACAGGAATTAAATAATTTGCAAAAAGACAAAGAGTAAATTTGGTTAATATTTATTGGTGGCAGGACAGGACTACTACGGTTTAAATGGCCACCAGAAGACTTATTTCAAGGCTACTTTTCTTTTAGACATTAATCGGCCTAATGCATAAGCAATTACTTTTTTAAACTGGAAAACTTCACATAATTGCAGATGATATTAGATATTCTGCAAAAGATAATAAAAATGTTTTCAAATGTAAGCTCTTAGAATAAGACCCAGAATTATTTTAGGCATCTAATAGTCCTTGGGACTAACAGAATAGGCAGAACCAATATGAACTGGTAATTTAAAGAAGAAATACAAAATAGCCAATAAATATATATGCAATACTCAATGCTCCAACAACTATAAAAATTCAAAATTAAAACAAGATTCCATTTTTTTCTACCATATGTACAAATTCAAAATAATAATATCCACTTGGAAATTGGATACTTTCTTCCCTGCTGTGGAAATGTAAATTGGTTAGAAGTTTTTGAAGTGTGCATTAACATTTATCAAAATTTTAAATGCAAATTACATGGTAATTCCACTTCTAGTGGTTTATGCTAAAGAAATACTAGTATGAATGCATAAGGTATATATAGACACACACACACACAGATTTTCTCTGTAGTACTGTCTCTAATAGCAAAAAATGTGAAAGCAACCTAAATATCCATCAGTAGGAATAGGCTAACTAAACTATGAAGAATACATTTAATGGAACACAACACAGACTTTAAAAAGAGTGAGAAAGCTTTATATATGCAGGTACATATATTTTTTAACTTGGAGAGCTGTCCATGTATGCTGTTTTGTGAAAGTTAAGATGCTGAATAATAATATACAGTCGACTTTCCATATCTGTGAGTTCTGCATCTGTGTATTCAACCAACCACAAATTAAAAATATTTTTTAAAAGGATAGTTGCATCTGTATTGAACATGCATAGATATTTTTTCTTATTATTTCCTAAACAGTATATTTATATAGCATTTACAATATCTTAGGTATTATAAGTAATCTAGCAATGATTTTAAAGTATACTAGAGGATGTATGAAGGTTACTTGCAAATACTACACCATTTTACATAAAGGACTTGAGCATCCGTGGATTCTGGTATCCATGGGGGTGTCCTGGAACCAATCCCCTACAGATACAGAGGAATGACTGTATACAGTAACATTCCTTTTTTTTAATTACAAAAATATTCAAAGGTATAATATGCATAATTATATATACATTATGTAATTACATGTATACTGTATAAGAAGCACAGAAAACAAAATATTAATATCTGGGGAATGGGGTAGGGAAGAGTGGACTTTCATTTCTGCTAAATACAGTTATGTTGTCTAAATTTGTTACAATGAACATACGTTAATTTTGTATATAAATGTGTTTTTACTTTATTTTTATTTTTGTAGAGACAGGGTCTCATTATGTTGCCCAGGCTGATGTTGAATTCCTGACTTCAAGTGATCCTCCTGCCTCAGCCTCCCAAAGTGTTGGGATTAAAGGCGTGAGACTGGCATAAACATGTTTTTAAATGGTTAATGATAAAAATAACAATGACATAGAGAAGAGCACAGTCTGACTTCTAACAAAAATAGGTATAGAAAAAAAAGCAAAAACTTCTGACAGTTTACAAAACATTTATTCACAGCACAAACATATCAATAACATTATAAATAAGCAAAAGAGAAAACTAGGCAACTACAGTTCATAGTTTTGGGATAGTGGAAAGTCTTAAGGTCTGACATTTTGCCAAGGTTTTCAATGGGCTGACTAACGTGCACCAGGGAATCAGCATAAAGATATTATAAAGTTATTTTATCTTAGTAATAAAAGATGGATTCCATGTCCAAAAAGACTTATAACTCACGAAAATCTGGATAATTTTGCCAGATTGCCTTCTAAATGTTTTTGCCAATGAACAGCCTCACCTACAATGTTGTTTTTAAAAATTACAAATGTCTAGGAGTACATAATGCAACCCAAGATCCCATCAGTCTTTTGGGAAGCCATATCATCCAGTACACCGTCAACTGCAATTCATAAGCCTTTCACACATATTTCTGTTAAACCACGTCTTCCCCATTATATGGTCAGGAAGTTGTATTTTTAGACCCAAGGGCAAAGAATTATCTGTCTTAAGAGAATACAGCCAAAGCAATGTAAAATATGAACTTACCAATTCATTTTTGGTGTTTAAGTCACTCTTGAGTTCCTCACAGCTCTGTTTCTGTAACATGGCCTCCTCTTTCAATGATTTGTTCAATTTATCTTGATTTTTAATTTCCTCAAGAAACTTTGTTTGTTTGCTCTTAAGCTCTTCAGTTTCTATCATCTTTTTTTCTAGGTCTCTTTCCAGTCTTTCCACTTCTTCTGTCAATGAAAATTTAATAGTTTATTTATCATTATATTTCCTATTTTTAAAAAGATAAGAATATTTCTCAAAACAATAGCAAAAAAAGGCTAAAAATATCATAAACACAATTCTACTTTTAAAATTAGCCACCACGGTTTTGGAAAAAAGACTATCCTGATCTTGAAATTGATTTATATTAAGAGGCAAGAAGACATCATTTTGATGACATTTTTAAAAGATTAATACTTTACTTCCAAGTATTTAATCCAATTAGTGTGCTGATAAATGAGTTTTTTTCTAGGTGACCTTTGAAAAACATGCAATATTTGATCTGACATTAGTAATTACATTTAAAAGGATGCTGCAAACATATTTGCAAAATTTTGTATTATCTTAAAATTATTCAATGGCTTTCTGTTACTCTTAGGATAAGATCCAACAGGCTTGCAAAAAGGTGATAAAGCTCTTCATAATTTAGACTCAACCTCCCTCTTCTGCCTCATCTTCAAGCATACTCTACTGCAGCTTTCTTAAAGTGATCCCATTTCTTCAGATTTTTGATGCCTCTTCTCACCTATAGGCTTTTATTCACACACTTTCCCTAGAACTGTCTTCCTCTACCTCCTACTGAGCTATTTTGCATCCTCCAGGTCTTAAGTTTTAAAAAAAATATATTGAGAAGCCTGCCCAGGCCCTATCCTGTGGCCAGGTTAGATGATTCCGAAGTATGCTCCCACGCTACCCTGAAATTCTGCTTGGCCCTTGTCACACAGGGAGTTGTAAAATGTGATCAAATAGCTTAGCTGTCTGCCTTCCCCCACTAAAGTGTCACAAAAGCAGAAATTATATCTATCTGGCTCACCTAGACTAGATCCTAAGAGCCTAGCACATTAAAGTCTCCTAATTAATATCTGAAGGCATGAAGAAACCATAAGTAGTCTAACCATTTCCCCCAAAAGTTATCTAGATGACTTTCCTTTGCATTATTAATATTTTTAATGATTCCAAAACATAAACTTCAGAATAACAAATGTTGAGTTAGGGAGATTCCAAACTAATAAAAACTTGCCACATTTGTCCAGTATTGGATCAAATCATATGAAATTGCCAGGTTTGCAGATCAAAACAGACTAACACTAATTTCAAATGAACATACAGGCTCATTTCCCAACACTCTAAAATGGCTAAAATGGCTATTTCATACCTTCCTCTTTTTTTTTTTTTTTTGAGACAGAGTCTTGCTCTGTTGCCCAGGCTGGAGTGCAGTGGCATGAACTCTGCTCACTACAAGCTCCGCCTCCTGGGTTCAAACCATTCTCCTACCTCAGCCTCCCGAATAGCTGGGACTACAGGCACATGCCACAACCTCAGCTAATTTTTTGTACTTTTAGTAGAGATGGGGTTTCACCATGTTAGCCAGGATGGTCTCGATCTCCTGACCTCGTGATCCACCCGCCTCCGCCTTCCAAAATGCCGGTGTGAGCCACCGCGCCCAGCTCATACCTTCCTCTTTCTTCTCAAACTTCCCATGCACCTTCTTCTATTTTCTCTCTCACCTGATGATCTCACATTTAATTAAGAAAATGACCCCATCAATAAGAACTCCCTATTTTCCCACCACCACAGCAACAAAACTACCCACACCTGCACATATCTTCGCTCCTTTCTGAAGGAGAAAGTGTCACTCCTACCAAAGGGATGATTTTTTCCTTTTTTTCTCTAATCTCATTCTTTTGTCTTCTCAAGAACCAAAAGAATTGAGCCATGTCTTGTTTCTCCACTCTGCTTTCAGCTTTTTTTTTTTTTTTTAGACAGAGTCTCGCTCTGTCGTCCAGGCTGAAGTGCAGTGGCACGACATCAGCTCACAGCAGCCTCTGTCTGCCAGGCTCAAGTGATTCTCCTCTCTCAGCCTCCCAAGTAGCTGAGATTACAGGTGCCCGTCACCACATCCAGCTAATTTTTGTATTTTTAATAGAGACGAGGTTTTGCTATGTTAGCCAGGCTGGTCTCGAACTCCTGACCTCAAGTGATCCACCTGCCTTGGCCTTCCAAAGTGCTGGGATTACAGGTGTAAATCGGTACACCTGGCCTCCACTCCGCTTTTGAATATTCTGTTCATTTGGTTTTTTGTTTTCTGGCTTTGAGGTTTACTGCATTTGTTGTTTCTGCCCATTTCCTGGTCTGGAAGCCACTGGTGAATTTTTTATTTTTTATTTTTGATCTTTTAAAAAAATTATTTATTAAGTACTAGAAGAGACATTGTGGGAGAAAATTTCAAATCTCCAGCCAAATGTCTCCCTCCTATTCATTCTCCAATCCATTATAATCTAGCATCTGTTCCCATCATTTCTTTTTTTTTTTTTTTACATGGAATGTTAGAAATTTCTTTATTATGACTTATTCTTATTAAGCGCCAGCTTAATGCTGCAGAAAACTTCAAATCACCCTTGATAACCCACTTTCTTGTCTCCCACCCAAATTACTGATCAAGAGTTTTTCAAGTAAAGACATGCTCTTCTCTCTTCTGTATAAAACTTTACGAAATAAAGGCAAAAGATTGTGTACATCTCACTGGAAAATGCTGCCCAGGGCTCTGGAGACTGTGGCTGCCCGGGTTCCCTTCACTGTCCAGGTCCTGAAAGACTCTTGTTCATGAACTGTCTCTTCACAAAGCAAATCCACCACTTGCTAGGTTTATCATTCCGAGGGTCAAAAACTTTTTCACAAAGTCTCAGTCCAGTCTCTTGCCTTAGCTGTTGTAAATAGGCTCTCATCACTTCATCTTCCTGTTTGTTTGCAGGTTTGGCATAAATTGCGTTAAGTGGAAAACCAGGCTCTCCAGGAATGGGAAAATTAGTGATTCCCAATGTATACATTTATTTCTCACCTTGGCTTTTGGAATTGCACTTTTGGAGTTTCTTCAGACATTCAGAAATATAGAGAGTTATATATACCAAGGTCCTATCAGCTTCATTCTTAATTTCATAATTTTTGAAGAAGACATTGGCCTTGAAGTAATAGATGGCTTCATCCACAATATCTGTATCTTTTGTCTCTCTGGGTGCAGGTCCTTTGAATTGACTTCTGATAGGTAACAGTGCCATGTTTCCGATTAGTTTGGTGTCAGGATCCATGAGAGAAGAGTGGTAAGCCGGCATCTTGGCAGCACCCAGATTCCAACCCAGAGGAGCAGAATCTCTGTTCCCACCATTTCTTAACTACTCCTGTCAAGATCATTATCATCTGTTGCCAATCTAAAGCACTTCTCTGCTTATCTCACTTAATATCTCAGCAACATTCAACAGAGTTGACCACTTCCTCTCTTGAAAGCTTCTCTGGGCTATTTCCCACTATTTCCTGGTTTTCTTCTACCTTGCTGGCCTCTCTTTCTCAGCTTCCTTAGCAACTACTTTTCTTCTTTCTCCCAGCCACTGCCTGAGTAAGCTGATTTCCATGGAATTTAACGTCATTTTTATGCTGATGTGACTCAGCATAAAATTTGTATGGCTAGTCCAGATCTCTTTAAACTCCAGACTCACATTTCTGACTCTTTATTTGACACCTCCACTTAGCTGTCTCACAGACATTTCAAATTGAATATGTCCTAAACAAACCTCTGAATTCTCCATTTTTATAAATGATATCTCCATCTAGCCACTTACTTGAACCAAAAGCCTGGGGATTATCCAATCCATTAGAAAACGCTGCTACTTCTACCTTCAAAACTGATCCATCTATCTTTCATTTCCACATCCAACATGTTAAGTATAGGCCATCAACATTTCTAACCTGGATCACTCCTATCCAAGTGTTAACCAGGGCTGACTCTGCTTAGCTTTCAAGATCTTGTGACTGCATTCAGATGGTATGGCATAGACTCCAGCCTAGATTACTACACTAGCCTCCTAATAGGTCCCTTCATCTCCATTTTCCCTTCTCCAAATCATTCTACTATGTATCAAAAATGATGTCCTATCCCTGCTTAAAAATTGTCAGTGGCAGCTGGGCACGGTGGCTCATGCCTGTAATCCCAGCACTTTGGCAGGCCAAAGTGGGTGGATCACCTGAGGTTGGGAGTTCGAGACCAGCCTGACCCTGTCAGAGAAACCAGAGAAACCCCATCTCTACTAAAAATTAAAAATTAGCCTGGCGTGGTGGTGTGTGCCTGTAATCCCAGCTACTTGGGAGGCTGAGGCAGGAGAAACGTTTGAACTTGGGAGGTGGAGGTTGCAGTGAGCTGAGATTGCACCATTGCACTCCAGCCTGGGCAACAAGAGTGAAACTGTGTCTCAAAAAAAAAATTGTCAATGGCTTTCCACTGCAGCTGAAATAAAATACAAATTCCAAGGCCCTGTGCCACCTCACACCTACCTATGTCTACACACTTTTTATTGAGCTGTCCTCCAGTCTATCTGATTTTCTTTCACTTCCTTAAACTCACAGGGTCTTTTGAACTAAAGAACAAGCTGCTCCCTCCCCTTAATGCCATTCTTCACGCGGCTAACCCTCTCTTCTCTTTGCTTTCAGGTTAAATGTCACTCCCTCAGAAAGCCATTCCTCTATGCCACAAAGAGGGCTCCCCTCTGTTACTTTATCTGATTTATTTGCTTTTTGTCTGTCTTCTCTGCCAAAACATAAGCTGCATGGATGCCAGCACCATATGTCTTGCTCCCCATTGTATTCTTAGTGCCAAATACAATGCCTGGTTCACAGTATACATTCAGTAAATATTTGTTGAATCGATTTATGCTGCCATTTCCTGTGTACATTTTAATAGCATTATAAAGTTCATAATACATATTTCTAGATAACTTCTGAAACTAAATTCCTCTCTCACCGAAATTTATTATTTTTTTAAGTTTAATCTTACCTAAACTGAATCTCTCAAAAGCCTCCTGTCTATCCTGAGTGGTTACTGGCTGACCTTCCAAACTTTCCAGTGAACGGAGGTGGAAAATGGTAAACTGGAGGTAATGAGGAAGGGTCACAACTGGATTTTCAACTAGGATCAGAGAAATCAAATCTTGAAGCGGTTTCAACTTGCTTATATCTTGGAGCTGAAATGATATAACATTAGTATTGGTATCATGTAATTTAAAAATCATAGCATACCTAAAGGAAGTTACAAATCAACTAAATTTAACATGGCAAGGAATCTACTCATGAAACCAATTACCCAAAAGTAGTGGTAATACTTTTGGGTATTTCCAGTATGGAAAGGGAGTATATGAGTATTTATGGTATATTTGGGCAGTATTAGGCATTTTTCCATACACTGTTTCATTTATGACTCCTCACAAAAACCTATCATGTAAGTATCATCTTAATTTTACAGATGAAGAAACTCAGGATCAAAGAAGTTAGGTGACTTGCCCAGAGTTCAAAGCCTGTAAGTGAATGAAACATGATTTGAATTCAAGTTCGTGTAACTCTCAACTTTGTCTTTTCATTATACTGATTCAACAAATCAAAAAAATGAATGGTTATAAAAAATATTTTGGCAAATCTTCAGATAACTGTGCTATAATTGATAGTTTATTCAGATAGTTTATTCTCAACCTAAAAATGTTGAGAAACAGTGCTCCAAATAGCTAGTACAAATAAATCTTCTCTCCCAAGTGAATGTGCAGCACTCTTCATAATGCCAATGTCAAATATCAACGGGGTGAGGACAGCATACAAAATTAGAAATAAATATTTATTGATTTTCCTATTGCATAGCTGACACTAAGTTGACACTATCTAAGGATCAACTACTTCAGGAATATTTATGGCAAATTTTAGATCTATGGCTACCTCTTCCCATCATCCCATAGCGTCAACAGCTCCAAGGTGATGCTGTACAAAGTGGGTTTGGGCTTGGGCTCTGACGCTCCTGGACTGTCACAGGATAAAATCAGAAAGCATAGGTATTGTTAACAACACGGCATTAAATGAATATTGCTTCTTCTTATTGGCCTCCACTGGTGAAGGCTTAAAGAATATAGCTTTAGACTTATTTAGTGTTTTAAAGTTTTTTTTAAAGCATTTTTCACATCTATCATTTCATCCGAGCCCCCATAATACCCCTGTAAAGGAGGCAGTATAGGGATTATTTTCCCCAAACAGTGAGTTTTAGAGGGATTAAAGAATTCTCCAAGGTCATGGAAGGCAATTCTATAGAGACTCATCTTTGAAGTCACATTTTTCATTTTTCTATTCTACAACTGATGTTCTTTAAATTATAGCACAGTTTTCCCAATTTTAATACAAATTTAAATAAATTAACATTTTTACTAAGCAAATGCTTATTAAATACCTAGCTGTGAATAAATACCATAAGAAAATCATAAACTATACTCCAGAGAAAAATATACAACATCATCTAAATATGTAAATCATGATAACAAAGTTGCTCTATATTGAAAAGCTAGTGATCAACCTCTTGTAACACCTAACATCATAATCAAAATAAACTGGTAAATTTGAAATTAAAAGTTAATACTGTCAAAAAAAAAACAAAAAAAAACCCAGAACTTTCTTCCAGGCATTCAGTGATCTGGATTCTGGCACAAAATGTGGCTCTGGATAAGGGACTTAACCTGTCCTAGACCTACTTGTTACTACCTAACTCATAGCGATAGAAAAATAATCCCTGTACTGCTTTCTTAACAAGAGTGTTATAAGGCTCACATGAAATGATAAATGTAAAAATGCTAAGAGATCAACTCTTGGTTACTATGGAACCCATGCAAAATGAGGACTGCTTGTATTTAATGAATCTAGAAAATCATGGGCTATGTCTGAATCTAGTGTTTAGACAAATGACTAAAACTTTAAAAGAAGAAATCCCATTTTTAAAAAACTTAGATATGTTTAATCTTTTATTTTTCAACAAGTCTACACATTCCTGCTATTTTGAATAACTTACCGATGATATCTTGTTGCCTTTCAAATTGAGGACTCGCAAAGATTTTAACTTCTTCCCTAACCATACTGGAATATGCTCAATTTCATTTCCTGCAAGGTTAAGCTTTTGCAGATTACACATATTTTCTATGCCTTCAATTTTGCTGGAAAGCAAAGGATAAAATAAAATTTAGTAAGTATAATTATAGAGTCTCTCATTGTATTTTTAGAATAAACAGCCTTAGCTCCATGTGAGATTATTTTTCATAATGATAATTTATCAACTCTTTTCATAAATGAGAACAAAGAAAAGTGGCTAAAGCCAAATTTACCAGAACAGCTAAACTGCCAACCTTTTATTACTATGCCAGGAATCCTATCCATCTTATTATTAGACTTTGCAACTCCATAACATAGAAAAGAAAAATTTGTCCATGGCAATCTCACCAACTACTGCGAACAATACTAGCAAACAGCCAGCAGAGAGCTGGGAAACTCAATAGCACCCTGTGCTATCTGCTACATTCCTGTCCAAAAGATGTTCTTAATTATTGCCTTAAGTCATCATAAAAAGATTAGCTATGCCAGCAGGATATGGGAGCCCATAGATGATACTGTATTTATGAATATAAGTAATTTAATCAGAACTTTTAAATAAAGCATTTATCACACATATTGATGAATTCTGACTGATGAAGCTTTTTCCCAAGTCACTTCTAGTTTATTTGTCAATTTAATTCCTTGGTCAATTTTCTATACTGCACAAATACTTCAGAGCTTCTAGCTACACTAGGTAAATATTTCTAAGCTTCTCTACTTTCACTTTTATTTTGCTGAAAATATTTTCATCAGAATCAACTTTTTATACAACTTTTATAATAAGGGTTTGGTTCATTAATCATTTTTTTTCACTTCAGTTTTGTCATATCAGAACTTCTGCCATTGCTATTCATTTTCTTGGCCATTCTATTTACCAAGTCTAACTTGGGGGAAAGCATACAGATATTAATAATTTCAAGATTTGATTATTGTATCATTTTGTCTATAACAAGTTTTCTATATGCAGTTTTAGCCACTGTCAGTTTTAGTATATTTATTTCTCACAGTAATATTTATTATGAATTGGAAACGATTGAGAGCATATTTCTTGTAGCAATGAGCAAAGAACATCAGAATCAAAACAGATTAGAACATCTTGGGGGTCAAAACGGCAAGGTTAAAACATTCTGCTTCATGTCAACATTCTTAACGCAATAAGGTAATAAAATCACAGACAATATCTGAGAAAACTCCCTGTCATAAACTAAATTAAGATATAATTTGGTGCTCAAAAATATATCTCTTTGATAATGCTAGATGTTATTCTGTACTTCAGTAATGCCAAAACATAAAGACAGTTACCTACCATATGTGAAGAGATAGACATTCATTTGATCAATGAATAAAGATAAAAAATCTTCTGTTTCTGTGTCAAAGGATTCTTTCAGTAATGTGGATAACATTAATCTACCTCTCTAACAAAGCTACCTACAATGCTACCTAAAGATTTTGTTATATAACTCACCTGATTTTGTTATAGGATAAGTTGAGTTCACGTAATTTTAACAGCTTGTCCAACTTTTCAATCTTCCCTATTAGATTATAGCTGAGATTCAGTACTTCAAGTTTAATACATTTTTCCAAATTCTCGATATACTAATTGGAAATAAATGCATAAATACTTTACACAACAGATGCCTTGACATACAGTATAATATTTACATATGTGCATCAGGGACTGTTTGATCAGTCATCAGAAAATAATATACCCTTACTGTTCTCCTGGACAATCCCTTGATGCAGCTCTCCTTGACTAGGAGTAATAACTCTACTCAAGCTACCAAACTCTCCTTGCCCTTCAGTAGACAACGACATTGTCTACACACTAAGAAGCTCAAGACTATCCAACAAGATTTCTCTCACTATCGTTCCCTCTACCTCAGTTTTGCTATACCTCTCCCTCTCATTCCCCTCTTTTCTTCCAAAAGGTAGTGCTATGGTTTTAGTTTATTTTCTGAAGATCTTGTTTGCTATAAAATCTATATAATATGTAGCTATTTAAGCATATATAAATATGTTTGCTATAAATTCTATAAAATATGTGTGTGTGTATATATATATGCAAACAAGATCTTCAGAAAATAAACAGTGCTAACAAGGAAACAAAGACATCTTGTGACAGAGTGCAAGGCACCAACATGGCAGATTTTGCCAGTTTTGTTCACTACTCTAGCATTACTGCCTGGTGCTAAATACTTGTTGATTAAAAGAATGAGAGTGCAACTGAGGACAGGGTGGCTAATTGTGATTGGGTGGTAAAAGAAGGCATCGGCCTGGAGGACAGAATGAGACCCTGTCTCAAAAAAAAGAGAGGACCTCACTAAGTTGAGACCTTAATAACAAGAAGCCAGCTGTATGAACATCTAGGTTGCCCAGGCTGGAGTATAATGGCGCGATCTTAGCTCACTGCAACCTCCACCTCCCGGGTTCAAGTGATTCTCCTGTCTCAGCCTTCTGGGTAGCTGGGATTACAGGCACCTGCCACTACGCCTGGCTAATTTTTGGTATTTTTAGTAGAGATGGGGTTTCACCATGTTGCCCAGGCTGGTCTCAAACTCCTGACCTCAGGTGATCTGCCCACCTCAGCCTCCAAAAGTGCTGGGATTACAGGCGTGAGCCACTGTGCCCAGCTGCTGCTTTTATTTTAACTTTTTAAAATACATCTTTCATTAAACACAACTTTTAAGTCTTTATGCATGTTAAATCTGTCAATACTTTTCCTTTGTGGTACTAGGGTTAGTATTTGCTTAGGGGGAACTTCACCACTCTAAGATTTTTAAAATATTCTCATATACTCTCTCTAATACTTTTAGAGCATTTCTGCTAGTTGGTTTTTGTTTTGCTTTGTTTTCATTTAGTTCTTCACCCTTCTGGAATTACTTTTTGTGAATAATATGTGGTAGAAATCTAAGGTTTTTTTCTTCCAATTAAAGGAATTAAGTTGTCTATTATAATGTGTTCATGTTGTATAGTTTATGAATAAAGCTGTAAACACTCTAGAGCAGAAATTAGCAAACATTTTCTGTAAAAGGCTGATATGGTTTGGCTGTGTCCCCACCCAAATCTCATCTTGAATTCCCATGTGTTGTGGGAGGGACCCAGTGGGAGGTAATTGAATCATAGGGGCAGGTCCCGTGCTGTTCTCGTGAGAGTAAGTCTGATGAGATCTGATGGTTATTATAAGGGGGAGTTTTCCTTCACAAGCTCTCTTTTTGCCTTCTGCCATCTATGTAAGATGTGACTTGCTCCTTTTTGTCTTCCACCATGTTTATGAGGCTTCCCCAGCCACGTGGAACTGTAAGTCCAATTAAACCACTTTCTTTTGTAAATTGCCCAGTCTTGGGTATGTCTTTATCAGCAGCATGAAAACGAACTAATACAAAGACCAAATAGTAAATGTTTTTGGCTTTGTAGGCCATATAGTCTGTGGCAACTACTAAGCTCTGCTACTGTAGTGCAAAAACAACCATAGACAATATGTAAACAAATAAGTGTGACTGTGTTCCAGCAAAACTTTACTTACAAAAATAGCAGGCCTGATCTAGCCTGTAAGCTGTACTTTGCCAACCCCTTCTCTACAGAGTCAATATTGTAGAGAATATTGAGTAATAGAAACCTATTAATTTGGAGATGTCATATACTTCTGATTTAGAATATTCACTGGAAACAATAAAAGGTCTGCCACAAATTAGGCAACATTAGGATAATTTTTTTTCGCAGTTTTAAAGCACAGAAAAGTTAAAAACAGTATCTATGCTCAGAAATTGTTGGTCCTACCTTAAATTTCTTGCCACCATCTTTAGAAAGAGAAAGGTTCAGAGACTTTATCAAGGCCAAATTGTCCTGTTTAGTAAGTTTTTTAATGAGGGCCTCTGTAATATATCGAACTCCTGCATGTGAATCAGCTCCTGAAATTACAGAAACAGATCATCATCAGTAGAGGAAAGACATGAATATCACAAAGAACAAATCGTTTTGATGTTATATAACAAAAACAAAAATTAAGCCATGCATATACCAAGAAAAGCTGGCTATTTCTAATCATAATGTTTTAATAATGTTTTACTTCATAGCATTTCATAACTATAATGAGGATGATAATGGTTATACACACTATAAATATTTGCTGTGTGCCAAACTTTGGGCTAAATGGTTTACATTTTTAAAATTTAATTTATGCAACAAACCTTTGAGATAGAAATTACTAATATCATCACTTATTTAAAAAACATCATTTGCTCAAGATCCTACAGCTAATTAAGGCACAAATCCAGAACTTGAACCCAGTCAGAGGAATATAAAACTTGCACTTTTAACTATATGAAGTTTTTTTAGCAATATTTTCATGTTAGTTTTTAAAAATAAACTGGTAATAGTTGTTTGTTTTTTAGAAAATTCCAATCTAAAGTTCAGAAACACTGAAATTCTTAAATATCTTTTCCTTTTTTTTTTATGGTGAGAAACTCTAAATTTATTGCTCTTTTAAATAGAGAAAATCACAACATATTGTACAGAGCTAGAGTAGTCACTTGAGGGATGGCAAATCTGGTCTTATAACGTTCCTGGATATTGTTGTCAAAGACTGTTAATGCCATATTACATTTTACAAAAGTAGCCCTAAAAACAAAATCATCTCTTGGTTCTTGCCTTATGAGTCAGAAAAAATTAATCCTGTGTTGAGATCCAGGCTGTGAGTCAAAGATTCCCTAAGATTATTTATAAGTTAGTATTAAATTTATTTTGGTTCAAAATAAAATGATTTTTAAATTTAACTTGGCTTGTTCTGGGAAAGAAAATTAATATTTGATTAATATTCTAAATTTGATAATATTCTAAAATATCAATCGTATTAGAAATAACAATATGCCAACTAGCAGTAAAGATATAGCATAAACCCAATGTTGTTAATGCTTACTAATAAAACATGATTAGAGTTTAATGGCTGTTATTTCACGACTTACCAAAGAATAACTTACTTTTGAAGTCAAATGCTCTACCACTAAGCTATACCCCCATCAATGCACTTTTGAGAACAGATTCCTAGACTAACAGAATGCTTTTAAGAAAAAAACAAAACACTGGTGGAACATACATGCATGCCCCATATGTGGAAATCAGTCCATTCACAGATAAGCAGTTTGCTAATAAGAAGACTGGCATAGGCCAAGTATGGATAACATTTTTTTACTGAATTAAGGCACTCCACTCTGAAGTGAAAAGATCTTCCCTCCCTTAACCAAAGAGGATGGCAAGTTTTGGTATGAGTTTTAAGACACTCTCCTACCACAGGAAACAAAGCTTCCTCTTTCTGGAAACTCCCTCTTTGAATCCACGGACATCTTTACCCTCACCCAGAAACCTCAATCCTCCCACTATCCTTACACAGTTTCTGTTAATAGAAACAACAGATCAAATTAGTACCAGAATGTTACAGTTGGACCAAAAATGCAAGCTGAAAATTTTCCATCTCTACTTAAAGTATGTGGTCAGACCAATTCTTAGATTAAAAAGTGATACCTTTATGGTCTTGGTAGTCCAAAAGCATATTGTTTTCATCTGCAATCTCAACTTGCTCACACCACTGTCCTCCAGAATGAAAAGGTAGAGTCTCTGATCCAATCAAAGGTGAAAGTGACCTAGATCTCAGATTGGACATAGATGATGGGATAGGAGAGTGAGATGACGATGGCATCTTTGCTTTGCAGAATATTTTTTGTTGAGAACCTTTCTTCATTGCAAAAATAAAGCCAGGTGTTCATCAAAACCTGTAAGAGTTTTCAGTATATTCAACAAGATTAATTTTTAAGAGCTATCAAAACTATTATTTCTAGAAACTTCAGGTCTATAAAGTTATAAACTCAGAGGCTGTAGATACTAGGACCCATACTACTCCAAGCTGATGGAGCAGACACTATATCAAGCATCACTGATGACCTTGCCAGAGAGAAAAGAGATCTCCAGAGGGTCTAGAATTGACACATGCTCCAGCTGGAAGTGTTGTCATTCCTGTTGTTTATTGAACCAAACTAGTCCCAAGGCCCCTTTTACCCACACAAGGGGACCCTAGAATGCAGGAAGCTGGAATATTTGGCAACCAGCAGTATTTAATACTGATAAGCACTCTCTCCTTCTTCAAAGTTTCTTCCTTTGGTTTCTGGGACACCTCACTCTCCTGGTATCCTCGTGACTCCCTGGCCACTCCATGGACTCCTTTGCTGGCTTTTGTTCCTCCTTGCAGTGTAATTTAAACATCAGAACTCCTCAATGGTCCCTTCTAGTTTCTCTCTAATCTTATCTTGGACAAATTAATGCACACTCATGGTTCCCAATGCCATGTGTTTACTCTTATTTATCTATTTTTATTTTTTATTTTTTTGAGACGGAATCTCGCTCTTGTCGCCCAGGCTGGAGTGCAATGATGTGATCTTGGCTCACTGCAACCTCTGCCTCCCGGGTCCAAGCTATTCTTCTGCCTTGACCTCCTGAGTAGCTGGAATTCCTGGTGTCTGCCACCATGACCAGCTAATTTTTGTACTTTTAGTAGAGACAGGGTTTCGCCATGTTGGCCAGGCTGATCTCGAACTCCTGACCTCAGCTGATCTGCCTGCCTCAGCCTCCCAAATTGCTGGGATTACATATGGGCGTGAGCCACCACACCCAGCCGATATTTATATCCTCAATCCAATCTTTCTCTGAGCTCCAGACTCCTATTTCCAATTGCTTACGTGATATCTCATTGGCATCCTAAACTCAGTTCAGCTTGAATTTATTATTTACCCTATTCCTCCTCTCACCCTCCTGTTCCTCTTCCAGTGTTCCCTAAACAGTGAACACTGCTCGCTGGAATAAGCCAAAACCCTGGGAGTCATTCTTGACACCTCCCTCTTCCCTTGTCCCATACTCAGCCAATCGCTAAATCTTGTTAATTCTTACTCCCAAATACCTCTCAAATTAAGTCTGCTTCTTTCCATTTTCACTCTCACGCACTCTAATCCAAGCCCTCATCAAACTACTATAACAGCTTCTAACTGATCTGTCTGCAAGCTCTCTTGCCTTACTCTTCCATCATTACATTGCAGTCAGATAGCCAGAGTGATGTCATTTTGCTTAACATTTGTCTCCATTCTGAACTGTATGCTCCATGAGAGCCTGTGTGTTTTGTTTACAGTGTCTCCCCAGTCTAGTATAGTGCCTGGTACCTAGCAGGAACTCAATATATATTTGCTGAATAAATGAACGAATAGAGGTATCTTCCAGTCATCCCTCTCCATCATCCACCAATATTGATTCTATCTCTAAAATAGTTTGAAATTCGTCTCTATCCATCTTCGCAGCTACTGCCCTAGATACAACTTTTATCCTCTCTTGCTTTGACTATTAGATACTCTCTGAACCAGCTTCCTTCCAATTCTCCTTTGCTTTACCCTCAATCCATCCTCTACCTTTGACCCACTTATATAATAAAAACAAAAGAAATGTAATGGTTCCCAGTGCCTATGAGTCTAAATATTTTGGCACCATGCACCACAAACAGGACTCATCACAGTCTGACCCCAACTTTCTGGCCTCCCCATCACATGCCATTGCTCTAGTCATCTTTTTGTCATTACCTGAACACATCATGAGTTTTTGCTTATGAAATTCCCTTTCCTTAAAGGGAATTCTTTAAAGGGAATTAAACATCCTCTTCTTTCTCTCAACCAATTAAAATGTTACTTTATTTGTGAAGACTTTCCAGAAATCTACTTTCTTCAGATAGAATGAATCCTCCCTGTTTATTACACTGAATATACCTACTGTATATCTTTTGCTTGCCCAGAATGTAACATCAATAAGTGGAGGAATAATCTCTGAATTCCCAGCAGCTCCATGGTATAAGTCATGAATACATCTAACACCTTATAACTAGAAATCACCCGGTTTAAAAACCATACTTTCAACAGTGTACTCTTTCATGCATGTGCTCTCTCTCTGTATGCATATTTTTTATTGGAATGTATCATACATAAAGTACATAAATCATAAGTGTATATAGCTTCATGAATTTCTATACAGTGAACACAAGCTATGTAATCGACATCCAGGTAAAGAAACAGAGTATTTCCAGAATCCCAGAAGTCCTCTCATGCCCCCTTCCAGTCACTAACTCCCACACATGGGTAATCACTATCCTGACTTCCAACACCAGAGATTTTTGAACTATTTTTGAACTTTAGAGAAATGAAACCATAAAATATCTTTTAAATCTGCCTTTTTGTTAAATATTGTTTCTGTAATTCATTCATATTTGTCTTACGCTATATGAAAAACATCTGATCACTTCAAATTTCAGTGTCTACTATTCTTATCTACAAAATCAATTTTACTGAAGTATAAGTCTTCCAGAAGGAACTAAAGCATTTGTTAATGAAAGAGACCTTGGTCAAATTCCTTTAAATGTTTTCACATAAAAATATTTATTTTCTTATATGAAAGAAAGGTAAAGTTCATGACCATTAAGGCACAGAATGGTTTAGCACTATGACTTGATTAGTCCTTAAAAATGACATTCTTATCCGGGTGTGGTGGCTCATGCCTGTAATCCCAGCACTTTGAGAGGCCGAGGCAGGCAGATCATGAGGTCAGAAGATCGGGACCATCCTGGCTAACATGGTGAAACCCCGTCTCTACTAAAAATACAAAACATTAGCCAGGCATGGTGGCAGGCGCCTGTAGTCCCAGCTACTTAGGAGGCTGAGGCAGGAGAATGGCATGAACCCGGAAGGCGGAGCTTGCAGTGAGCTGAGATCGTGCCACTGCACTCCAGCCTGGGCAACAGAGCGAGACTCCGACTCACAAAAAAAAAAAAAAAAAAAGACATCCTCTTCTGTTCTAGGCATACAGTGTGCTGTGCCTACAGTGTGCTGTACGCTGTAGAACACAGCCTAGCAAATGGTAAATAATTAACATTTATTGAATGAATTAGTCATAAAGAACATAAAATGTAAAATGTACTATTTAGTATCTCAACAAAAAGATGCCTGCATGAGCAATACTAGTCCTCAATATCAATCGTCCTAAATTTGCAAGGTTAGTGTATGTAAAAAAGATTTTCATGATACACAGTTGTTCTTATTAAGTACGTTAAGTCTAAAAACAGTACAAAAATTATAAACTTGACAAACTTTTGGACAAAAAAAATCTTATAAGATGTATAGATCTTGAGCAAGGCTATATTAATAATGATGCTATCTTTGCTTAGTATCTTAATTTCCCCTATAGTCACTGCTGAAAATGTGAAAATGGAAATTATTTTTTAGAAAAAAATTTAATGAAATAAGATATTAGCTTAAAGTAGTTTTTAATCCAAGAATTGAGTAGCTCAAGTGTTAATGCTATATAAATTGGTGTTAGAAAGGGATAGTGGAATGATGGGTAAACATCTTCATATACGTGATATTGTAAAATATCACACATATGATATCATGCATCACATAACAATGTTTTGGTCAACAATGGACCACATACATGACAGTAGTCCCATAAGATTATAATAAAGCTGAAAAATTCCTATAACTTAGTAATATCATAGATGTCATAATGTCATAGTGCTACACATTACTCACATGTTTGTAGCGATGCTGATATAAACAAACCTACTATGCTACAAGGTGTACACAAGTCTGGCACATACAATTATGTAGAATACATAGTATTTGGTAATAAATGTCTGTATTACTGGCTTATGTATTTACTACACCATACTTTTTATTGTTAGAGTGTACTCATTCTATTTATTTTAAAAAAAAAAAGTTAACTATAAAACAGACTCAGGCAGGTAGGTCCTTCAGGAGGTATTCCAGAACATAATATTGTTATCATAAGAGATGATAGCTCCATGCATGTTATTACCCCTGAAGACCCTGAAGATCAGTGGAACAAGATATGAAAGGCAGTCACACTGATTATCCTGACCCTTACAGGCCTAGGCTAATGTGTGTGTTTGTGTCTCAGTTTTTAAAAAAACATTTAAAAAGTAAGAGTTTTTAAAATAGAAAAAAGCTTATAGAATAAGGTTATAAAGAAATTAATTTTGTACAACCGTACAATGTGTTTATGTTTTAAGCTAAGTTTTATTACAAAAGAGTCAAAACGTTTTTAAAAAGTTTAAAGTTTATAAAGTAAAAACATTACAGCAAGCTAAGGCTAATTTACTACTGAAGAGAGAAAAAAACGTTTAATAAATTTAGTGTAGCCTAAGTGTACAGTGTTTATAATAAAGTCTACAATAGTGTACAGTAATGTCCTGCATCTTCACATTCACTCACCAACTAACTGGGAAAGAAACTTCCAATCCTGCAAGCTCCAATCATGTGGTAAGGGCTCTATACAGGTATACTTTTTTACATTTTATACCATATTTTTATTGTACCTTTTCTTTTTTTTTTTTTTTTTTCTGAGAGGGAGTCTCCCTCTGTCACCCAGGCTGGTATGCAGTGGCATGATCTCGGCTCACTGAAACCTCTGCCTCCCGGGTTCAAGCGATTCTCCCACCTCAGCCTCCTGAGTAGCTGGGACTACAGGCGCATGCCACTACATCTGGCTAATTTTGGTATTTTTAATAGAGACAGGGTTTCACCATATTGGCCAGGCTGGTCTCGAACTCCTGACCTTGTGATCCACGTGTCTTGGCCTCCCAAAGTGCTGGGATTACAAGTGTGAGCCACCCACCCAGTCCCTTTTCTATGTTTAGATGCACAAATATTTACCATTGTGCTACAACTGCCTGAAGTATTCAGTACAGTAACATGCGGTACAGGTCTGTAGCCTAGCAGCAAGAGGCTATCCCTATACCATCTTGGTTTGTGTAAGTACATTCTATGATGTTTGCACAATGATGAAATTGTCTAACAATGCATTTTACAGAGCAAATTCTGTCATTAAGGGACACATGACTATATGTTAAATTAAACTAAATTTTGCCTGCAAGTGCCTCTGTACTTTAAGTCTCTACATAATGAACTGCAACATAACTTAAAAGGTAAACTAACTGAAAGCCTAACTTAGGAGTATGTTTTTGTAACAAATAGCTGACTCTCAGCTAATCACAGCAGCTGAGCTTCAGTCAATCACAGGCAGTCAAGTGACTGTACCATGTTCAAATAAGGTAAACACAGAGCTGTAACCAATCAAGCTGTTTCTGTACCTCACTTCCCTTTTCTATCCATAAATGCTGCCTGCCTACATTGCAGAACAGACCTCTCTGAATTTCTTCTGGTTCTGAGGGCTGCCCAATTTGTGAACTATTCTTTGTTCAATTAAACTGTTAAATTTAATTTGTTGATAATTTCTCTTTTAACCTGTATATTTGATGCTCCTCCTGTTTCCTATCACATAGCTCTTAAAACCTTTGGGATCTCCACAGTGATAAGAGTGTCTTTCGTATACTGATAAGATGACTGGTGACACCTGGATAGCTTTGGGATGGGGGCCAGTCACCAGAAAGACTAAGGCATGTTTAGAAGGTTGGGACTTTGAGCCCAACCCCACAATCTTTAAGGAGGGGAGAGCAGCTAAAATTTGAAAACCAGTAGCCAATGATATGAGCAATCATGCCTACATAAGTAAGCCTCCATAAAACTCCAAAAGGACAGGGTCCAGAGAACTTCCAGATAGCTGAACATGTGGAGGTGTCTGGAGGAAGGCATGCTGGCAAGAGCATGAAACTTCATACCCCTTTCCACATACCTTGCCCTATGTAACTCTTTCTCTGGCTGTTTGTATATTTTGTAATATCCTTTATAATAAATGGGAAAATGTAAGTTCTGTGAGCCACTCGAGCAAATTAATTGAACCCAAGGAGGGGGCAGTGGGAGTCCCAATTTATAGCTCAGTAGTCAGAAGTATAGGTGGCAATCTACTACTTGTAATGGGCATCTGAAGTTAGTGGCACTCTTGTGGGACTGAGTCCTTAACCTGTGGGATCTGATGCTATCTCCAGGCAAACAGTGTCAGAATTGAACTGAGTAAGAGGACACTCAGCTGGTGTCCACTGAAGAAGTTCTGATGTATGGGGCAACAACCCTTACATGCCTGGTGTCAGAAGTATTGTACTGTGTGGTACAGCAGTAGGAAAAACATTCTGAGTTTTTCATATCTCTATTAAAAGATAATATACCTTCACAAGCATATGGGTATACATAAGCTGTGATTATACAGAAACTTCCCGCAAACTCCCAGCTTTCTGTGTAACAGCTGGCCATAAAGAAATTAAGACCCTCATTCCACAGGGGTCCTACCCAATACCCAGGAGGAAGGAATGCTGCACAGAGAGGTCAAGAGAAATCTGGAGAAGCAGGCCTTGCTGAATTTCCTCACTCAGTCTATTAGTGTTAGATCATACCCATTTTGTCCAATCCTATTTCTATACAGCTGTCCATACTTCATTGATCCTAAGCATAAAAATGGATAATTTTTTCTGCATTTCTGGGTCTTCATTCTGAAGGTTCCCATGACACACAAAGCTTTGATCGAATAAATTTGCTATGCTTTTCTCTTGTTAACCTGTCTTTGTTACCGGAGTGTTGGCCATGACCTTTATGATGGGACAGAAAGGTATCACTCCCTTTCCTCCCCTACAGAACTTATATACAGTATATAAAGGAGAGATTACACTAATATAATCTATTAATATATTCAATTTTTGGAATTCCTCTTTGGATTCTGCTTTCAAATTAATTTGTAAGTCTCACAAGAAAATCGGGCCCATCACTTCAGGTACATTTTGTTTTTATTTTCCCAGTTTGATCGCTAACCTTACTCAGTAAACTTGACTCCATTTAAAGTTTGTCTACTTCCAAAAATTTAATGAAAAGATGATGATTGAAGTTAATTCTAAAGAATATCATACTAGTGGCTAACATTTACTGAGGGCTTACCATGTACCAAATATTGTGATATTTCGTCAGCCACAGTGTGTATACTTGCAGTCCCAGTTGCTCCAGAGGATGAGGCAGGAGGATTGCTTGATCCCAGGAGCTCCAGGCTACAATGTGCTATGATCAACCTTGTGACTGGCCACTGCACCCCAGCCTGGGCAGCATAGGGAGTCTCTGTCTCTAAAAAACAAACGGACAAACATATGTTGTGATAAGCTCTTTATGTGTATCATCACATTGAAAGAATTGAATATAACAACTCTATAAGTGTTATTTCCCATTTTACAGATGAAGATCTTAAATAATTTGTCCAAAGTTCCTTAACTAATTGGTTTGGCTAAAACTTGAAACCTGATCTAATTCAAAACCCATGTTTTTAACGACCATATCATATAGCTATCTGAGTTTCCTGGAGTCTAGATTATGTTTGCTTTGTTCTCTATGGCCTAGCATGATGCCACAGGCGGCAGGTGCCTGTAATCCCAGCTACTTGGGAGGCTGAGGCACAAAAATCACTTGAACTGGGGAGGTGGAGGTTGCAGTGAGCCAAGATCGTGTCACTGCACTCCAGCCTGGGCCACAGAGTGAGACTCCATCTCAAAAAAACAAAACAAAAAAAATCCTGAAGGTAACCCAGAAAATTTTATACAAAGAAAGGATCTCTGATACCATGATCTGGTCTCTCAAGGTGAATAGTCTGAAGGGAATAAAAACCTGTCACACTTTTTGCTTTTAAAAAGTTAATTATTATTTCACATACATTACAATATAGCCAAATGTCCCATGCCAATAGCCTCATTCACTACAGGTTAAGCACTCCAAATCTGAAAATCTGAAATATTTAAATATAAATATAAAAAATATAAGTATAATGCAAATATTCCAAAATCTGAAAAAATCCAAAATCCAAGACACTTTTGGTAGCAAGCATTTTGGATAAAAGATAATCAATCTGTACTTTATTTTAATTTTTTTGGAGACAGGGTTTCACTATGTTGTCCAGGCTGATCTCGAACTCCTGATCTCAAGCAATCCTCCCACCTCTGCCTCCCAAAGTGTTAGGATTACAGACGTGAGCTACCACACCTGGCCTTCAACCTGTTCTTTAAACTGTGAACTTAAATGTATCTGTACTTTTTGCTTCATTTTCTCGTATTAAACTATATATATGGATCAGAAAAACTCCCCCAAGTCACATTAACTGCTATTTATGTCATTTCCACAAGGCTTTTGGTCCAAATTTCAAGCGTGGTAAACAATTTCTGTGCCTTATAACACAATTTTGCCATGGAAAAAAGTCTTTTAGTAATTTTAATATTATGAAATACATACTTAGTCTTAAGTCTCTTTTGCTGTCATAAGTGTCTTTTTGTATGCTAATGAGTTGACCGATGGCTAGCCACCTCTAGGCAGCTTCAGGATCATGGCTGGTCACTAGAAAGAGGGAGGGGAGAGGGGCTAAAGGTTGAGTTGATCACCAATGGCCAGTGATGTAATCAATCAGGCCTACATAATGAAGCCTCCGTAAAAATTTAAAAGACTGGGTTTGGGGAGCATCCAGATAGCTAGACACGGAGGGGGTCCTGGAGGGGAATCCACCCAGAGAGGGCGTGGAAGCTCTACGCCCCTTTCCACCTGCCTTACACTATGCATCTTTTCATCTATATCCTTTGTAATACCTTTTATAACAAACCAGTATATGTAAGTAAGTGCTTCCTGAGTTCTGTGAACTGCTCTAGCAAATTAATCAAACCCAAGGAAGGAGTTGTGGGAACTCTCGTTTATAGCTGGTCAGTCAGAAGCACAGGTAAAACTGAGGCCTACCGTTGGCATCAAAACTTGGGGGCAGTCTTGTGAGCCAGCCTTCAACCTGAGGGATGTGACACTGTCTCCAGGTAGACAGTGTCAGAATTGAACTGAACTAGAGGACAGCCCTGTGGTACCCACCACTGCAGAACTGACTGCTTGCTTAATGTGTGGGGGAAAATCCTACAGGATCATGTTGTGAGCGTATAATGGGAGAAATTGAGTTTGTTTAATCTGTAGTCTCAGTAATACTATTTTTTTCTTTTTTTGAGACAGAGTCTCACTCGGTTGCCCAGGCTGGAGTGCAGTGGTGTGATCTCGGATCACTGTAACCTCTGCCTCCCAGGTTCAAGTGATTCTCCCACCTCAACCTACCGAGTAACTGGGATTACAGGTGTATGGCACCATGCCTGGCTAATGTTTTTATTTTTAGTAGAGATGAGATTTCGCCATGTTGGCCAGGCTGGTCTCAAACTCCCGACCTCAGATGATCCACCCACCTCGGCCTCCAAAAGTGCTGGGATTACAGCCACCACACCCAGTCCTCAGTAATACTATTGATGTTGCTAAACTGCACTGGCATTCTCCTTCTAAATAAGAATACTCTAAAATTTGAGAAAAGCTAAGAGGCATGTGCTTAGGTAAAATCTTATTCCTAATTAAATGGATTAATAGACGACATTTATTATAGTATATATAGCATGTAGTTGGGGGTTTTTTTCCCCCTTAGGCAAGGTCTTTCTCTGTCGCCCGGGCTGGAGTATAGGGGCATGCTCACGGCTCACAGCAACCTTGCCCTCCTGGGCTCAAGTGATCCTCCTACCTCAGCCTCCTGAGTAGCTGGGACTATAGCAGCATACGACCATGTTCAGCTAATTTTTTATTTTTTGTAGAGATAGGGTCTCACTATAGTTCCCAGGTTGGTCTTGAACTCCTGGGCTCAAGTGATCTTCCCGCCTCAGCCTCTCAAAGTGCTGGGATTACAGGTGTGAGCCACTGTGCCCAGCCTGTAGTTTTTACATCCTAATGACCAAGACCCCTTAGGTCTCACCAGACTATCATGAGGTCTCTTATTACCTCTCCTGATTAGTAAAAGTCAGGCTTACTCATTCATAGACTTAAACCCTTGCTTGCCACAACTTCTGTAAAGCTTTAACATTGAAACAAGATATATGTAATCGGTCTCAGAGAATAGCTAACTCAGTGAAGTGGGCTTATGGGTTTACAGTGTTTGAGAATGGCTGGCATTATTTCATAGGCTACTGCCCGGAGGTTGAAATGCTGAATTATAATTTTAAGGGAGAGATGAGGATGTAGTTTGATCCTAGGATGTTGTCTGCAATCACATGAACAAAGACCAAGCAAGCAATGGAAAAAATGAAGACAGCTGAGAGGTAGGCTAGGGCGAGTGAAGGAGCAGGATAAAGAGAAAAAAAAAAAGCAAATAAAGTTCAGAGCTACAGTTGTATTTTAAAGGTTGTCTGCAGAGCAAGAGAAAGCCATTGGAATGACATGATAATCAGAATCTATGTCCAGGCAACAAAACATTACCCGTCCTGCCACCTATAAACCCAGATACTTGCTCTGATCTAACAAGTCAGTCCATCACAGCTTAGTAGAGACTGCAAACTCCACCTCCATCCAGCCTTTCCTAACTTTCCTAACTTCCCATCTTCTCTGATCTCCAAATAAGGCAGACTTCCTTCTGTCTCTCTACAGACTCCCTAATATGCAAATACCCATCCCCATTTCTTAACCCCCATATCCCTCTCCTTAGCCCTTTAATTGGATTTCAGTACTTTCCCTCCAAGTCTACTTCATCCCATACCCTCTGACCTACTGAAATACTTTCCTTCCTTAACCTTCTCCTCCTTTCAAATATCCTGATTCCTATTCCTCTGCAAAGTCTCCAATCATTTTTCTTTCCAAAGCCAATTCCCCCATTCTGTGCTGTCCACCTCTGCCTCCCACTCTTCTTTATCCCATTCTGACTGCCAATTTGCCCACAAATTCTATCCCAGTTCCCCAACACAGTAATAGTCTCCCCCACTTCTCTATGGTTCTTTCCTGTGCCCAGACTCAGCCTTTCTCTATCCATCCAGACTTCCCAAGCTGCTCATCTCTCTTCATCCCAGAAAATACCCTGACATCCTAATGCGTTCCAATATGCTGACCTCCAATTACTCCCCTCCCTAAACAAAATACTCAAACCTCCACCCATTCCTCTTTATCGCAACCCAACTGCCTGCCTATTTGCCCTTCCGTCCTAATACTCTGGCCCCCGTGTCCTTTTCCACCTATTAAAAGCCTGAATCCCCCTCTCCCATCTCTCTTCTGCTCAGATAAAAAGCCTGAATCCCCTTCTCCCATCTCTCTTCTGCTCAGATACCCTAAAACTCAAGCTTCCCATCTCTTTCCATTAATTATTCAATTTTATTGAGCAACTTTTATGTAGGAAGAACCATGCTAGGATCTAAGCTCAAGATGTATAAGATTTTGTCTCCCAATTACCCATGATCTCTGCACCAAGCAGTCTCCTTCATAGCATTTTAAAACAGTTATTTGTGAAACTACTTGATTGTTGCCTGTTTCTCCTTCTAGACTATAAGCTACAAGAGAGCAGAGGTCTCGTCTGTTGTTCTATAGACAATAAATATTTGTTGACTGAAGGACTGTACTAAACACTCTAGACAATACCAAATTTAAATCCTCAAAGATTTAGCTGTATAGGATCAGAATTACTAACCTCATTTACAAGTGGCAATGTATCTGAACAATTAAAAGCCTGGATTCTGGAACGAAACAGCCTGAGTTCACATTCTGACTTTCCACTTACTGTGTGACTTTAGGCAAATTACTTAACCTCTCTGGTCCTCAGTGCTATCACTTTTTAAGTGGGAATGATAACCTCATACAAGTTATTTTAAATTCTAAATGAGGTTAATACGTGCAAAGTGCTTAAAACTGGATCTGACAAATAGTGAACACCCAAACGTGATTCGCAATTATTTGGACAATGAGGAAACATGATCAGGAAGGCTCAGACACATGCCAAGGATCACAGACGCGGTTAAGTTACACAAGGTGGCAGAATTGAGGTTTGAGCCCAAGTTTGCCTGGCTTCAAAATTCACTAGTCCCTTAACGAATATAACGGAAGTGTTTGCTCTTCCCCTCCTTTTAGCATTTCGTCCCCACATCCTGTCATCTTTCTCCACGCACTGTAGTCCGTCCGATACCGTGACAACCCGTCAGGACGCCCAAACTGTCCTTTCTCCCGCTCACTCCCCACAGACAGCTGGCACATCCCAGCTCTCCCCTCAGCTCAGGTAGCAGGACGCACAACCTTCTGGGCGCCGCACCCTAACTTCCACACCTCCCCACGCTCTGGTTCTTCATCCCCAATCGCCCCCGCCGTCCTCACCTCTTCCCATCCAAACCTCCCTCCTTCATCCACTGCCCCACGCCCGTTCCGGGCCCTCCCCTCTTTCCCGTCCAATCCCAATTCCCAGACATGCGCCCCCGCCCCGAATCCATCCCAAGCCGGCCCACCCCACGCCCGGTTCCGGCCTTCCCGCCTTTGCCTCCGGCTCCCACCGCTCGGGTTGGACGCCGGAGAACGGGCTCGACCAGGTCTGACGCTCACTGCCTAGGAGCCGAGCCGAGCAGTCCCGCAGGCTGAGGCGGAGCGGAAGACGTTGGGGCTCTTTCCTCAGGCGCGCAGCGGCGCGACGGCCATTTTGTTGTGTTGTGCCGGTTGCCGAGGGGCCCCGCGCGCGTGGGCGGGGCCTGTCTCAGCCACGCCCCTCTCCCTCTCCGGGGCTTTTGGGAGGGACGCGGAGGCGTTTCCCGCCGCTTTCGCTGCCAGCGCGCTAGGGTGCTGGGGAGTCTTGGGCGCTGGGGAGTCTTGGGCGCGAGGCTTCCGGCCGCGCGGGGCCGGCGGGATTTGCTGCCTTCGCCTTCGGATTGCGTTGCAGGTGAAGTTACGGGTGCAGAGTCAGGGAAAGCCGAGGTTTCTTGCGGCAGTCGGCCGCAGTGCAGTGGCCTAAGCTGAGACAAAGCTGCAGCCGCCACCCTCTGAAACACGGACACGATTCTCTGGGCCTGGGTCCGAGGACGGCCTGAACGCCGACCGGCGCAGCGCATCTCCGGCCTCCCCCACTTCTGACGCCTTTTTCTTACCATTTTCTCGCAATCATTCCTTCCTGTCTTCATTTCTTTACTACACAGTTTATAGTCCACCTGTATAACACTATTTTAGAAACTCCCTCTCTCTCTGTGCCTCAGTTTCCTTACCTATGAAACGGGGTCCTTTTACCTATTAACACTTCCTACAGTTTTCCTGATAACTATAAAAGTGAATCCAGGCCGGGCGCGGTGGCTCATGCCTGTAATCCCAGCACTTTGGGAGACCAAGGTGGGAGGATCACTTGGGGTCAGGAATTCAAGACCAGCCTGGCTAACAAGATGAAACTCCGTCTCTACTAAAAATACAAAAATTACCCGGGCGTGGTGGCGCACGCTTGTCATCCCAGCTACTTGAGAGGCTGAGGCAGGAGGATCGCTTGAACCTGGGAGGCGGAGGTTGCAGTGATCCAAGATCGCACCACTGCACTCCAGCATGGGCGACAGAGCTAGACTCCATCTCAAAAATAAAAAAAAAATAAAAAAGAAGCCCAGTTTTCCTGATAATTATAAAAGTGAATCTCTGTGGAAGAACTTAGAACAGTGAGGGACCCATAGTACGTTCTCAATGTGTCTTAGGTATTTCATTATTAGACAAAGGTTACCCAGAAGCGATATTTCTTTCTATGCCCGAAAGAAGAGTTTAGGCAAGGGGTAGGGAGGTGGGGAAGAATTTGCTTGGCAAAGGAAGCAACTTGTGCAAACCTCAGAAGCGGGAGAAAAGAGCTTGGCAGTGTGCTGGATATTAAGTAATTCAGTGTAGCTGGAACAAAACATGAGTATGGAAACATGAAGTACTTCAGTATGGCTCGTGCGAAAATCGGGTGGAGAAGCTAAATCTGGAAAAGCAACCTTATTATAAGCAGTATTAGGCACTTCATTTTTCCTTAAGGCAGAGATAGCTTCACCTCTATAGGAAATTCAGGAGACGCCCAAGAAGGAATAAACTGCAATAAACATGGGGATGCAGACGTGTCTTTGATATACTGATTTCCTTTTCCTTTTACTTAAATGTGATTCCCACCGATATTTAAGTGAATGCTGCTGTCCTCTCCCCAACTAGTTATACAACACAGAAGGAAGCCCTTGGAGTTAAAACCCAGAATTTTTGAAAAGCTCCATTTAAATTTAAAAGGAGATTACATTCATTTTTTTCTTTCTTTCTTTTTTTTCTTTTTTGAGACAGAGTCTGGCTCAGTCACCCAGACTGCAGTGGCAGAATCTCGGCTCAATGTGACCTCCACCTCCCGGGTTCAAGCGATTCTCCTGCCTCAGCCTCCCGAGTAGTTGGGATTACAGGCACACACCACCAGGGCCAGCTAATTTTTGTATTTTATTACAGACGGGGTTTCACCATGTTGGTCAGGCTGGTCTCGATCTCCTGACCTCACGTGATCCGCCCGCCTCGGCCTCCCAAAGTGCTGGGATTACAGGGGTGAGCCACCGCGCCCTGCTGAGATGACATTCATTTTTAATCGAAGTTCACGGGATATTTATTAGGTCGGAATGTGTACATTGCCGAGTTTCAGTTCTATTTGGCATATGTTTTGACACCCATCGTTTCTATTTCTTGTATCCAAGACTTAGATTTATTGCGTAACCTCATTGCTGTGTCCCTCAAAGTGTGTAATGGTATTCACGTGGGATCCATTATCAAGCCGTGGTGTGCTGGTGTAGTTCATTATCAATCATATTAGTATCAATTAGTAGCCATCAGATATACACAAAAAGTCCAGAGGGTGGCGCAAAACACTTTTCTCTTGGGTAATCTCCCAATTAGCCGCGGATGGGCACTCTTCGGTCCCATGTTGTCGGGTTTTCCTCCTCATACAGACCTCTGCTGGTGTCTAGCATCGTCTCTAAAGAAGCTAGAGACTTCAAAGGAGAGACCTTTCTCCGATTAATTTGAATATTAACTGTCTCTCTTAGCATGCTAAAAGAACTTCCTTCTCTAAAGCAGAAGTGAGAATACAAAAGTAGTGCAGACAACTCTTGCATTCCACACTATTTTTTCTTTATCTGATAATAGGAAGAATGTACTCTGAATTGCATTTACAATACAAATATTAGCCACGTCAGGGTGACCTAACTTTTACTCAGTTCTTTTTTTTTTTTTTTTTTTTTTTTTTTTTGAGACGGAGTCTCGCTCTGTCGCCCAGGCTGGAGTGCAGTGGCCGGATCTCAGCTCACGGCAAGCTCCGCCTCCTGGGTTTACGCCATTCTCCTGCCTCAGCCTCCCCAGTAGCTGGGACTACAGGCGCCCGCCAACACGCCAGGCTAGTTTTTTGTATTTTTAGTAGAGACGGGGTTTCACCGTGTCAGCCAGGATGGTCTCGATCTCCTGACCTCGTGATACGCCCGTCTCGGCCTCCCAAGTTCTTTTTTCCCGAATGGTAGCAAAGCTATTCTGTTTAAACTTCCCCCAGCTTTTTGCAACCCAGTTTAGTCATTTTGCGAATTTGTCTTAGAGAAGAATCAGACTAGTTTGTCAGGCAGGGATGGCAGCTTTCATTATTGCCATTTCTTTTTTTTTTTTTTTTTTTTTTTTGAGACGGAGTCTCACTCTGACGCCCAGGCTGGAGCAGTGGCGCGATCTCGGCTCACTGCAAGCTCCGCCTCCCGGGTTCACGCCATTCTCCTGCCTCAGCCTCCTGAATAGCTGGGACTACAGGCGCCCGCCACCGCGCCCGGCTAATTTTTTTTTTGTATTTTTAGTAGAGACGGGGTTTCACCGTGGTTTCGATCTCTTGACCTTGTGATCCGCCCGCCTCGGCCTCCCAAAGTGCTGGGATTACAGGCGTGAGCCACCGCGCCCGGCCCATTATTGCCATTTCTTTCTGTGACTGGCCAGTGTGATTTTGTTGTTTTGTTTTTTGAGACAAGGTTTCACTCTGTCGCCCAGGTTTCAGTGCAGTGACGCAATCATAACTCACTGTAGCGTTGACTCTCGGGCTCAAGCGATCCTCCTCCCTCAGCCTCCCAAATAGCTCAGACTATAGGTGTGCACCACCACACCTAGCTCATTTTTAAACTTTTTGTAAAGATGGGGTCTTGCTGTGTTTCCTAAGCTGGTCTTAAACTCCTGGGCTCAAGCAGTCCTCCCACCTCAACCTCCCAAAGTGCTGGAATTACAGGCATGAGCCAGCATGCCCAGCCTGATTTTTTAAAAATTTTTATTTATTTATTTTTGTTGGTGTTTTTTGTTTTTTGTTTTTGTTTTTGTTTTTTGAGACAGAGTCTCACTCTGTTGCCCAGGCTGGAGTGCAGTGGCACGATCATGGCTCACTGCAACCTCCACCTCCAGGGTTCAGACAATTTTTGTGCCTTAGCCTCCCTGGTAGCTGTGATTACAGGTGTGTGACACCACACCCAGCTTTTTTTTTTTTTTTTTTTTTTTGTATTTTTAGTAGAGACAGTGTTTCACTATGTTGGTCAGGCTGGTCTTGAACTACTGGCCTCAAGTGATCAGCCTGCCTTGGCCCCCCAAAGTGCTAGGATTATAGGTGTGAGCCACCATACCCAACCTTAATTTTTATTTGTAAATGACATATATTAACTGTACATATTTATGGGATACATAGTGATGTTTTAATACATATAAATGTATAGTGGTTGAAGTAATTAGCATATCCATCATCCCATTTATCATATATTTATGTTAGGAGCATTTCATACCCTCCTTCTAGCTATTGGAAGCTATATATTATTGTTAAATATCTTCATCCTATAGTAGTATAGAACACTAGAACTTATTGCTCCCATCTAGCTATAATTTTGTATCCTTTAAGATATCTTTCCTTCCCTTCCCCCTGCTACCCTTCCTAACCTTTAGTATCCTCTGTTCTACTGTTTACTTCTATGAGGTCAACATTTTTTAGCTTAGACATATGACTGAGAACATGTAGCATTTAACTTACTGTTTCTGGCTTATTCACGTAATATACTGTCCTTCATTTCCATCCATGTTGCTGTGAATTATGGTATTTCATTCTTTTTTATGGCTAAATAGTATTCCATCGTGTGTGCGAATATAGATATGAATACGCACACACATATGTATACACATACAGAATATAGATATATCACATTTTCTTTTCTTTTCTTTTCTTTTTTTTTTGAGACAGAGTTTCGCTCTTGTTGCCCAGGCTGGAGTGCAATGGCATGATCTCAGCTCACCACAACCTCTGCCTCCTGGGTTCAAGCGATTTTCCTGCCTCGGCCTCCTGAATAGCTGGGACCACAGGTGCCCACCACCGTGCCAGGCTAATTTTGTATTTTTAGTAGAGACGGAGTTTCTCCATGTTGGTCAGGCTGGTCTTGAACTCCTGACCTCAGATGATCTGCCTGCCTTGACCTCCCAAAATGCTAGGGTTACAGGTGTGAGCCACTACATCTGGCCCACATTTTCTTTATCCATTCATCTGTTAGACACCTAGGTTGATTCCATGTCTTGGCCATTATGAATAGTGCTGCAATAAACATGGGGATGCAGATGTGTCTTTGATATACTGATTTCCTTTGGATAAACGCCCAGTAGCAGAATTGCTGGATCATA